ATTTATATATATTTATATATATATATATTTATACAAATATATATATATACAAATAAATATACAAACAATATATTTAAAAAAAAATTAAATGATTATATAAATAAATATATAAACATATATATATATATATAAATAATTAAAGTATATATAAAATAATAATACAGTATATATATATATAAATATAATATGCAAATAAGTATATAAAAATAAATATATAAATACATTTATAATAAATAAATATATATAGATATAAATAATTATACAAATAAAGTCCAAAAGTGTATGTACTGCCCATGATTGGACTACACAGGCAAAGCTCCCCGGTGTGTTATTCATTTGCATCTACTAGGCCAAAGAATATAAGCTATTCCTACGTGTTTGCTAAACCGGATAACCTGAAAAAAAAAAGATTTAAAACGTATGGCTCGCATGGCTCGCTGGCTTGCATGACTCGCGCATTGGCTCGCATGACTCGCTGGCTCGCACGACTCGCTGGCTCGCACTTTGGCACTATTCTAATTTAGGACTCGACATAGACCATGCATAGACAGAGGCTTTTTGTCTCACTATAAGGTATTTATTACCTGTTCTTGCATATATTTGACTGCTTCTGTTTATTCCAATCTTTTGTTTCATCAGATGAGATTCATTATCCCTTTGTTTATACTCAGTCACCGTCCACCCTTTTGTTCTTACTGTATATATGACCACACTTTTATCCTGTTTGTACATTCACCTGAAGAAGACCACTGCGTAGTCGAAAGCTTGTGATTAAATAAATTTGTTTAGTCTGAAAAGTGATGTTTGTCCTTCATTTACTGCTATCTTCTAGATTACACGGCTACCCCATCTTCTACTTTGGTGACTGTAACTGGGAAATCTCTATTTACCAAGACGACTGTCTTGAGCAGCCTAGAAAGGACGAACACGTCGATGTATTGTATTGAGAGATTTGGTGCAGATTAACGATCTTATTTTCGATTGGGATTTAGAATTTTTTTCGGTGTATAAAACGCAGCAAGGATAACCCACTAAATTCAAGAGAAATTAAGTTACTACGGTCATTTATTGAGCAGTAGGCCTATACGGGACAGACAATCACCTGCTGCTCTTTTCCGAAGATTTTACTGAGTTCTTTAACGTGCACCTCCGGAACCAACGGCTTAAACTCCCATCAAAAAGATGGCACGCTATCTAAACTTGCATTTCAGCCCCCTAGCAGCTGAAGCACAAAAACAGCAATTGATTTGAGCCAGATTAAAAAATCTTCACAATTCAGCGTATACACAATGGCTAAAACGGTTTTGCTGTGCCACTCTCAGTTCGATTAATTCAGAGATGTATGGTGTTAGGCCTATTGTGGATTAAATAGGCGATACGCAGTTGGAATGTGATGCGTTACTTGACGAAACTCCTGTATAAGCCTAATTATATTGTAGTCTAATTAGTAAATGTGTTCAAATCTTTTCAGAAACGAGCTGCAGTATGTTTAACTTGTACTTAAAAGGCCATTGAAGAATACAGCTATTGCAGTAATCAAATCTTGCTGTTATCAGTGCATAGACAAATTTAATCAATGACTTGGTTAATAATTTGCTATGGATCGAATGTTTCGCAGGTGGTATAGGAGACAGATTTACTGATTAATCATTAATGTGCCTAATTATCATTGTCGAATCGAAGATAACCCAATATTTCTGACCTCAGTCTAAAGATGGCGCAATCGAGGTGCCGGTGATACGACAGTCGGTGATAACTTGCATCGGACACATTTTTCGATTTTTTGGGGTGAACGAGTAATACTTTTCCTTTACAAAATTTATTCATCATTTCAAAATTCTGAGAAAATACCAAAATTAGTTATTTTCAATGTGAACAGATAAAAAAAAATCAGTTTTCACTATTATTTAAAGATGTTTTAACGAAATAATCCTTTAATTACCAGCAAATAATATAAATGTTTAAAAATACTGTAAATTGGAATTCTGGCTGAAACTTCAACGTAAGCTTTAGTATCTGGCCCACTCAAGAAACGTTCCTGGGTCGAAATTTGTCTTGTAATAATTCTTTAAAAAACAATTGTGCATGTGCGTACATCACAACCATAGAATAAAACAACTATGCATTTTACACAATTAACTTTCTTATTAAATTCAAAGGAAAGGTCAAACGACAATCGTTACCGTATTTATCCAAAATAAGTCGGTTATTAACTAGTACAATCTCTTGGTCTTGTTAATAGAAATAAACATAAGGCCTACTTAAATTTATTATTATACACATGTACACAGAACCATTTTTGCCGATGGATAAACCCGGAGTTTACCATGATTCTTATTCTTCATCATCTTCTTTGATAGATTGTTTTTCTGTGTCAGTTGTGGATTCCGCATCTTTTATATCTGGTTCTGCCTCTTCAACAATTCTAGAGAGCGGCCCACTACGGTCAACATTCACATCGTCACTTTCGGGTACGTTTGCAGGGTTTTCGGCGAGGTTATTTTGTTCCCCGCCATTTGGATCTGTACCAAACACTTTAGTTTCGTCAGGATTTGGTTCTGGTGTTGGTGAATTCTTGCGGGACGAAGGAAATATGACTTCCTTCTCGGCAATTATTTCTTTTGCAATGGTTTCTAATAATCTCTTGTTGTCATCGCTGACGTCGACATCCTGGACTACCTCAAAGCAGCCTTGGTGAAACTTGACAGGAAGAGAGAAAACGATGTCGGGTGGCAGTTCATACCAACCTAGGAGAAAAAGAATATCGTATACAGTACAAGCAAATAACTATCAATACGCAATGAGCAATTTTGGCCGATCTGTTAATGTTTTTTAGAAACGTTTGGAAAGAACTGCTAAATAAATAATTGCTCCTTGTAGAAAAATCCTTAAAAAAAAACCACGGAAAAAAAAAAAAAAAAAAAAAAAAAAAAAAAAAAAAAAAAACTCAAGTTCAATTAATACATCACTATTGTATGCGTTCTGTAAATTCATTGAAGAGAAAAACTATTTTCCCGATCAAATTTCAATTTGAAATCTAATTATCAAAGACTACTTAAATATTACGACAATATATGATAATATGATAATAACGTATAGGTATAGAAATATTGGTAATTAGAAGGTCGTTTGTTCAAATCCCGAGTGGGACAAACTGCGTATTTCCAAATATGTACAGTATTATCAATTTAAATCATGGAGGTATTATAGTATAGTCCGCTATAACTCCATGCTTCTGTTTAGTAAGCAATGTATTTCTGGGTATGCAGTATTAAAAATGTGGTTGATTTATATGATGGTTTATAGATAGGATTACACACATTTAACTGTGTCATCACATAATGCAACATCACACTTTTAGTCATATAACGTCTAGAAAACGTAAATAATTTTAAAAAAAGAGTTGAGATTAATTGGTTTAAATTAAAATCTACTTTTAATACCACACTTTCACAATTATTGCTAAACGTCTCTGATTCTATGTAATTTTTTTTATTTGTTAAATGTATTTCAATATCTGAATACATGAGCAATTTACTTTTAACTGCATATTGATTTGATTTGAAATTAAACACACGTTGTGAGTGAATGCTCTTTTCTCAATTACTTTTAGAGGGCGCTTCAAACGGAAAATACTGTAGGATCATCATTTTCGAAATCAACGTTATTGTTTTTATAACATTGACTGAGACCAAAACTTCACTTTAAACTGTCGATGATTATTACACTGTAGAAGAAACGTATATAATTATCATTTGCTGATGATTCTTAACTAGTAAAGAGAGGGAGTAAACTTGATTAAGATATCCATACAAAAACAAAACAGACTACTACTATAATATATTGTTCTAATAGTCTTAAGCTGTAAAATACAGGTTATTATTTTGACCATGGACCTATTAATGAGATAATTATTAATAGGTCCATGCTTTGACATCCCATAAAATAAGAGGGGCATGTACTATAATTGGTGGCGCCAGTCAACACAGAATGAAAGAAGTACAGTACTGAATTTGTACTGATGATGCTGAGAGTCAGTGAAACTGTTATGCGCCGTATTTTAAAGAATCACATATATCAAGTTAATTATATGCTTATTTTATAAGCTTTTATGTTTCCTTTTAATATGTTTTGCTATTCTCCAAATTACCTCTATAATTTCAAATTTTAATGTGAATAGGCCTATGGGTTTTTTTGGGCCTATAGTGAGCAATTGTTTGTTTCATATTTCCTCTTCCTGCGTAGTCAAAACATTTGTACACAGATTTTCGGCACTTATTTTCTTCATATCTGAGCTTGCCATTTCAGATTGAATACCATAGTAACCATAAGCATATTCTTGAAATTCATTACATCCACCAATCAGAACTCCTTTGCCACCCCCTGTCTCTTATACACATCTAGATGTGTATAAGAGACAGTTATTACACTGTAGAAGAAACGTATATAATTATCATTTGCTGATGATTCTTAACTAGTAAAGAGAGGGAGTAAACTTGATTAAGATATCCATACAAAAACAAAACAGACTACTACTATAATATATTGTTCCTCCTTGATTGTTCTAATAGTCTTAAGCTGTAAAATACAGGTTATTATTTTGACCATAGACCTATTAATGAGATAATTATTAATAGGTCCATGCTTTGACATCCCATAAAATAAGAGGGGCATGTACTATCTACACTCCTAGAGTGTACTGCTACAGTAGTACATTTGCGTGGTTGTAACGGAAGCAGGTTTTGCAGATTTCTATTACATCATTCATAATAAAAATACTTCCATCTTGTACTTTCAACTGCGCATGTACGCATGACAATGTCAAAGATTATGTCGTATAAACATCATACAGCGCATGCATTGTGCTCTTTTATAGTTTATTAAAGGTTTTGGAGAATGGTTGCAGTATCAGCTACTTACTGTATTTACAGTAAAAAAATCAACTATTAAAATAAAGTGCAGAAAATAACAGGGAGCATTCGATTAAGAACGTAGAACGAGAACATAGAACGAATTCAACCGTAACTGTCATTACATGACATTCTACATTCTACTGCAAATCGATTTTGATGTTTTATGATGCGTACACTGAGAAGTTACGAACAAGACTGACGCACCAATGTTTAATAAAGTACAGTCCTTGTTCTGGCCAACAACTGTTCCATACTTCATGAGAGAACGTAACACACGATGTTCAGACATGCGCAGTTAAATTATCATGACATCACTACGTTCTATGTTGTCGCAAATCGAAAGCTCCCTGGTATCAACCATTAGAGTGTTTATTTGCCTTGACTTTTGAGATAGTTATAGGCAGGCAAAACTAATAGAAGGCTTCTTATTGAGCATCGTAACGTTGATTTTGTAATTGTTTTACCTTCTGAAAAAACACCTAATGATAAAATTTTTCCATCTTTAGAACCATTCCACCAATCTTTCAATACACCAATAACAGCAGATGCAGCAGAAAGTGTTGCACAATGTCCAAGTGTTTTTGTCAGAGTATTCTCGTGGCTCTTTAAGTTATCAAGGAACTCAGTCTGAAGCCATTTGTCATCGTGAACCATCTCTTTTACTGGCCTGGAGTACCACTCAGGTCCTACAATGGCACCGTCATACTGGTGTACAGCAGCTTTGTTTACGTCTGTTAGGCTTGTGCCACTGATGTTTCCCCAGGTTATCAAATCTACAATAAACGCCGAGTTGACATTTAACTTCCTTGCAAGTGCTGCCTTAGCTCTATTCTCTAGAAGGCGTGCCACAGCCACAATGTTCTGCCGGGCTACTGCTGGCGCAGCAGTTCCTAGCATGTATGCGTTAAAATTCAAGGGGCCATCTCCAGCAACCAGCACCTTTACATCATTGGCAGCAACAGAATTCAAAATCTTGCCATATTCTCTAAATATCTGAGCATTGAGCTTTAGCCAGTCATCACAGGATTCCTCTGGTTGAAGAGGAGATCCATCAAGAAAGACCACAGCACTGACACCATTAAAAGCTTCCTGAGGATCACTTGTAATGATAACTTTTCTGAGCAGAGTACACGCTAGGTCTTCTGCTTCCATCACAAGACCTTTGATGACATTATCATCCTTGTTCTCCACCAAAAGTGTCAAACTTATCTCAGTTTTTGGCCCAAAAACATCACCTCTTGCTATTTCATAGACCATATAGTAAGCCATAGGCTTAGAAGCATTCGTGATGCAAACCTTTAACGGATTACTAAGGCTCTTTAAATGCTCCTCTTCCTGCGTAGTCAAAACATTTGTACACAGATTTTCGGCACTTATTTTCTTCATATCTGAGCTTGCCATTTCAGATTGAATACCATAGTAACCATAAGCATATTCTTGAAATTCATTACATCCACCAATCAGAACTCCTTTGCCACCCCTGTCGATGAGCTCTCTCCATACGATTGGTGACTTTTGATGTTGCCATCCATTTTTGTTGCAGGTAATTGACAGCCATTCCTTAAAGACCATAATAATTAATATTTATTATCATTAATATTACCTGAAGGTTTTGACAAACAGTTAATTATAGACTGTGTCTGTGATTTAACAATAAATACAGTAGTAATATCTACAGTAACGTTATATTTTGTGCACTACAGCATAAAATGTAGCTGTAATGTTTATACATTTTTATCATGAATACAAAAGTGTTTTAATATTTAATATAAATGAATTAATAAACCATATAAATTTTGATTGATATACTAACCTCCCACTCTTCAGGGGTTTTCACTATCTTGTGTATTTTAAAGTCAGCAAGATTTGTTTGAAGATTATCTGCCAACAACTCTGTCCTAGCATAATATGGACAGTCAGCCCTACCTGATAAGTGAACAAAAATCATTATTAACCTTATAATTGTACAGTATTTACTTACTTAGATTATGAATTAACATTTGTGTGTATTTGTTTTTGAGTATGTATGACTATTTGGTACTAATGGTACTGGTGGTAATGGGTATTTATATGGTGCCTTCCACTTTTCAGTGCGGCTATGATATGAGTATTAATTTGTGATAAATTTTATTTTCATATTTGAATGCCTAGCCTAGGCCCTCCTTAATCACCTGAGAGACTGTTCAGCAACCAGGAAATCTTGTGTCTAAGAAAATCCTATGCCTCGCTTCTTCTAGTAGCAGTAGGCCTTGGCATAGCCGAATCACCGTCTAGCCTAGGTAGGACTACTTTCTATAGTACTAGACATCTAGATGTGTATAAGAGACAATATATATATAGATTAGGCGCTAATAATACTATATAGCAAAGTATTATCTAGCCTAGGGCCAGGCGTATAGGGCCTATGAACTAGACTAGGGCACTAGGCCTAGAGTCAGACTTAATACTAGGCCTAGGCCTAGTCCCATCTAGATAATAGGCCAAGGCTAGGCCTAGCTGCATAGCTTTACTACATACTCTAAGGGGACGTGGGCCAGGCTAAACAAAGAAGTAGGTAACGAAGCAAATAGGGCCTAGGCCTAGTCTTCCTCCTAGTCTATCGACAGTAGGCAAGACCCTAGCTAGGGCCTAGGTAGGTAGGCCTGCTAAAAATGACGATGACATGCATAAAAAAACAAACCTGCGATGACAAATTTAGCCATTATGAACTGATTACAGCATTGCTTATTTATTTGGCTATTATCTACAGTTTATAAACCAAGAACTTCCTTCTATTTGTGTGATAATATAGCATAGGACTAGCCTACACCAATCAATCCCTCTCTTTCTTGCTTGGTCTTATCTTTCTTCTTACTACCTCTGCTGTCTGCTTTGTTTGTGTACATGGTTACCAATAACAACATTTACAAAGATAAATTAGCAAATATAGAAATAAAAGTTTTTAAATATTACTTACTGATATTAATAATAAATAATTAAAATAGTATATGTTAGCTATATTGTTTTCCTAATAACTTATTAAAGATATTATATTAAAGGTATAAAATTAAACTTTTTAATATTTGTATTTAAAAGGCCAAGGTTCACATTAAAGTCCAAAACACGTGTTACTGTAAAAAAAATGGCGAAGGGTGAGGTTACTGCCCAGATGGGAACACAACATATTGCACTTGATGCTAAAATGCAAAAGGAATTTGAAGAAAAAGTAAAGAAAATTAAGCCAAAGGTATAATTTCTTGTTACAATGTTTATGAATGAAATATATGTTTTTTGATAAATTTATTTTGAATCATGTCCAGACCTCGTGTAGGCCTGCCGCGCTGTGACTGTGTGCAGCTGTATTTCCCACCCTGGCCTAGCTAGCAGGTAGGCCTAGGCTTGTAGTGTCCAGTGTCGGACCGGATAGCTAAGCGTAGGGCGGATTGCAGACTGGAGTACCTCCATGGGTCTAGCTGTTTTAAGCTATATGTGCGTGAAACGTGCATGGAGTTGTGTTCTTTTTTTTTTTCCTTACAATTCTTTTTAAAAAAAAATTAAATATAGGCCTATTATGAACATTTTTTATTAAGCCACGGGAATGAAAATTGTAGGTTTGCGTCCACCGCCCGCATGCCTAAAAAGCTACCGCACGAAAATTTTCATTATTTTAAAAAGTTGAAAAAAATATACTTCGTTTTAAAAAACGGACTTCTAAGTCGTAAACAGACAGAAAAACGATCTATTCATCACTGATCACTCATCGCGAACACCGAGCGAAGGCAGGCCTGGCCACATCGCACCATGATTGCCGATCACTGCTGAGGTCATTTACGGGTCAAATCGATAGGAAATCTCGTATGTTTAAAGAGGTCTTAAATGTAGAAAAGGATCTGTTTTATAGGCTAGTGTACATTTATGACTGTAAGCATTGTTTCTTGGGAATAAATGTAATATTACCAATGCCGCGGCTTGTGGACAGCATTTATTAAAAAAAATAATGAAAAATGAAATAATGCCTCATGTGTTTTCAAAATTTTTCGGATGCAAACCTACAACTTTCATTCTTGTGGCCTTAGGTCCTATGCATGTAATGCAATAGGAACTATTGCACTCTTCACTGTTTTTCCTGTGTGTAGTGTGTAGACATTTATGCAAATGCGCATGAGTCAAAGAAAAGTTTTCCGACATTTTGTTTTACCTCACGATGCGAAGTTTGATGTGAATTTTCTGCAGTGTTCAGTCAGAGCTCACGCTAACGGATCAGCAAGTCGGCATGGATGAAACTATTTTGTTTTTGCGGCAAAAAAAAATAACTGATGTATGTAGGCATAGGCATTTTGAAGAAGGCCTAAATATAAAAAAGGTTTTAATGTTTGATGAAATACATCGTTTTTTTATTTAAATCTTTTTTCGCTACCTCCATGCGACATTTATTTCTGTTGTATGAGTAGTCATATGTAGGTACTATATCCCCAACAGTTGGCTATGCAGCAGTGTACCCTTTGAATGCAGACTGAAGACTGGTGAAGATATAAAGGCAGCCAACTGTCGGGTACATAACGACTATCTAGCTTAGGCTTTCCACAAAAACATGAGGCCTAGGCTAGGCCTAGTTTAGTACAGTAGTTACTGCGATGCGAGGGTGGTAGATCGTTTAATCAATGATATCGTGTTATCGTCTAATACATTTAAATAATGTGTGTAAAATTTAAGAATGCATCGCATGGGTCGCTTTCTTTGTTAAGCGGTAGTATACATAGCAGAGTGATGGCAGCAAGGGCCTAGATCGTGTACGTTCTCGATCATCATGATGGAAACTTGGGTGACAGACGATTGGGCCCAACTGGTGTGGACAATCGAGCCCAAGCTATTTTCAAATAAATTGTAGTCTAGTAGGCCACTGCCAACTGTCCCACTCCCGATATCATTCCAAACTACTGTAAAATGAAAATACTGTCTACCTAGCTAGGCCTAGGCCCTAGCAGTGGCGGCACCAGCGGGGGGGCAGGTCATGACCCTCGCCGGACAGAGCTCGTCGGGCAGTCAGACCATAAAACATATAAAAATAGGCCCACACCAAGTCAACACATGTCTGTCACAGTCTGAGAGTGCCATTTTCGGCCATCTAGAGGTTGATATTCTTTAAAAAAAATCTCATTTGGGAGGGAGAATCCCTCTCAACCCCTTCATCCAGTTTGAGCCTACGAGCTCAAGTCCCCCTGTCGGACAATTTGGCCCCCAGAAAATATATCCTAGAGCCGCCACTGGGCCCTAGGTCTACCAAATCTTTTCAAAGAAATTTCCTAAAAATATTACTGTAATTTTCCTATCAAATTACATTACCAATGTGGTCTAAAATCACTATTTTGGCCATAAAGACTCCCCTTGAATTTTTCAACCACCACACAAATTTAACCCAACCATATTTTCTATTTTCTGATTATGTCATTTATGATGACTTAATCAGAAAATATGGTTGGTTATTAAAGTCATGTATCATGCATAGGAACGTTGGCGCCTGCAAGGCTCTGGTGCACAATTGAAATAACATTAACGTTAAATTATCATAGGCCTAGGTACTGCGTGTAAGCCTCTACTGTAGGCCAAGGAGGTGTTATAAAAATGTCTAGCAGCTCCCTGGCCCAGACTGTAAAGTAAGGCCTGCGCAGGGAATATATCATTAAAAAAAATACATACAAGAATTTTTGTGCGGAGGATAATTCCCCACTCAGGCCTTACAACTATACAGTCTGGCAGTGGTACCTGTATTTTCTGTTTTTTTCTTAGTGCACTAGAACTTAAAAAAAAAGTTTAGTGAAATGACTATATTTGTTATTAGGGAGACGATATTGAACCAGGAGTCATATATGTTGGACACATACCACATGGATTCTTTGAGCCACAGATGCGACACTTCTTCTCTCAATTTGGAACAGTTACAAGATTACGAATCAGTAGATCAAGAAAGGTGGGTTCTTACATATTTCTCTTTAAAAATTAAAAATATGAAAATAATCTGATTGGAAATCATAATTTTTTTTTTAAATCAATAATATAATCAGTAAATGAAAGATAAAAATAACCTCTAACCTTGATAATTCAATATAATTTTAATGTTTGAAAGCCTCAGTGGACCGTTTTCCATGAAAATTCTGATTACTTTTATACTTTCTATTATGACTTAATTTATTTTTTATCGTTTTAATTAATTTTTAATTATTTTGATTACTTGCTTTTATTACTATTTAGAGTGGACGTTCTAAGGGGTATGGATTTGTTGAATTTGAGTACAACGAGGTCGCCAAAATTGCCGCTGAAACTATGAATAATTATCTGACGTATAATAAACTATTAAAATGTGAGTATTAAAGATTAATAATTTAAAATAAGGTAAGGCTTTTTTTTTGTACCTTGCTTGGCGATCCTGCCCACTGAAAATATTGATGATTGTATAAAATACATATCCTTATCCAAATGCCTAACAAAAACAAACCAAAATATAATATACATACATGGCAATTTTAAATAACTGTTGTAGATGAACAGTCAATAATTTATATTTATTAAGGAAATAATTATAGGAGTATAATATGGCATTATATATAATATAATGTAGCTATGAAGAGATACAAAGAATGTCTTAAATAATTTAGTTGACATTAACAACACCCTAATATAGACAGTATATTTATAAAAGAAAAAAAAAACAAAAGTAATTTTTAAGACAAAAAAATTGAGCTCAATATAATAATCAACCTGTCTGTCAGTGCATTCATTCATTTTATTTTTGTCATTTTACAAAACAATATAAAAATTGTATTCAGTTCAGTAACTCTACACAACATCTTATTAAAACACTGTAATGGGGATAATTGTCAGAGATGGAGCATTGGAAAGGAGAATGGCGAGGAGACATTCAAAGGCTAAAAACTTTTTTTTTTTCTTATGTTTTTTTACTTATCCTTGATCATTAAATAAGGCATACTCTCACGTAGCAATGGAAAATGTTGATTTAAATTGCATGCTTGAAGTGATGTCTTGCATTACCTGAAGTATTATAGTACGGAATACTCAGTACGTTCCCAGATACGGGCCACTAAGTCACTAATTGTGGTCTAGTTAGTGGTTATGACACCAGGCTATTTACCAATGCAAACACACTTTGAATAGCATTGCTACTTGGCTGCTACTTGGCATATCGGACTCGCACTAGTCACTAAGCGCAAGCTCGGCGGTCTAGTGGTTTATATCTGGAGATTGTGGGTTTGTTTCTCACCCAAATTTCTTGCGAACATGCAGTACGATAACATGATAAAACGTCAATCCCATGATATTTTTCTGATGCAAACACACATCAGAAATAAATTGCATGCTTATTCATTAATGTCTTACATTGCCTGTCTTTTGTTATTCTAGGCCACCTTATGCCAAAGGAGAAAGTGCATCCGGAACTTTTCAAAGGCTGTGAACATCGTTTCTTTAACCCCTCAGTTAAAAGAAAAAAAGCAATTGCACAGTATAACAGCAGCCTAACAGCAGATGGGCACAGAGTACATAAGCTGCTGGAAAAAAGAGCAAGACAAAGTAAAGCACGCCAAAAGAAGATTGCTAAAGCTGGAATCAACTATGAATTCGATGGATGTGTAAGTATTTTTTTCCTTCATTTCCTCATCAGATTGAATTGTACGCTGATTACTTTGCCAACATTTTGTTTATTCCGCTCAATTATTTTCATAGGCCTGTTACCGCCAACATTTTTTATGTTGCCGACTGTTTATTACTTCTCTGTTCCTATGGCGTGCCCTTTATCTTAGAATTTATCTCACCTTATATCTTACAGTTTTTAGTTCATCTGATCTGTATTTTTTCAGTCATATACGTATAACGTTGAGGAAGGACACAGACGTGTCCAAAATATTCGTCTTGAATAAATTTTATGTCTCTATTATGTCAACGTATGCAATCATTTCTTTTTCGTATTTGCTTTTTATCATATATTTTTGTGAGACATACGTGGAACCAACTACATCGGATACTATTATATATATATATAGAGAATAGTGTTACTTGTGGTTTGGCAGGATTTAAATCCAAGATCCTGGTATTAGAAGACAAGCATTTTTAATATGAAGCCACAACTTGAATCTGTATTTTTTTTTTATTTATTTATTTATTTTTTTCAGTTTTCTAAAACCATTTAAATGATCAATTTCAAATAAACAAAAAAAAATGTATTACTTGAATACAGACATAATATGTACAACAAAAGGTGATTAAAAACGACCAACAATACTGTATAATCAAACAAGCAAAGCAACGATTAAACTTTCTAATTTAATGAGGAAACTAGAATGTGTTATCTCACATTTAGTTGAATTACATTCTTATGTGTATACCAATACAAGTAGTGCTCAATAAATGTAAATTGTGTCATTGTCCAATTTCATATAATATTCTGGTAAATCAGAGGTGGATTAGCTTTGTTTCCCACGAACGTTTTAGTGATGCAATTTTGAGTGTACTCCAAAGCTGTATAATTAATATTGTCTGAAAAACAATCTGAAGAGAGTTTTTTTACACAAAATCGAGTAAACCGTATTGCGCTGTTTGGAGGATGTGCAGACTATGAGATTGGACCAGTCAATTCGATTGTTCTGTTATCTAAAATAGTCGGAATTTTTGCAGAGAGAAACACACATTGCTTCCTACTTTATGTGTAGCATTTCTTGTATGAAAACGTATCTCTTTGGAAGTCTTGTCGTTTAATAACAAGACGGCATATTACATTGATCTTTGTTTCACTAGTGTTGTATCGGCATACCATAGAGTATGAAATCCATTAATCAGAACCGAACTTCCTAGGTAACAAATATTCGAGTTGGTTTAGGCGTCTGCATAGTCATCAGAAGTTCCCGGATTTCAATATTTTTTACCGTATATCATGGCCGGCGGAACCGGGGGGGCCCGGGCTCCCCCACTTTTTGGCAAAAAAATATATAATGTCCAATTTTTGTATGATCGGAAATGCAAGAAAAGAAGGAGGGAAGAAGGAGGAGAAGGATGGGAAAGAGGATGTTTATCCAATACCCGACCGAGTTTCATTTTCTCGCAATTCACATTGGCGGATATGGGGGAGGGGGATCATGGGTCCTGACCCCTCCCTTGGGCAACTAAAAAAAGGGGGAAAGAAAAAGAACAGCATAAAAGTCATTAAAACACACTTCAAATGTCGGAAAGCTCATTTCCCGCCATCTAGGAATCAAAATTTTCAAGGGGGAGAACCCCTGGACCACCCTTTCTTTTTGGGATTTATCGATTCATGGCAAAAAGAATACGCATGCAACTACTCATGTTTATGTATGAATACACACATAAAATAAAAAATGAGAAAAATTTACCTGACTGTTTTCAAGAGGGGAAAACCTTGAATTTTGAAGAACTTAAAATACATTTCAGAAGTCAGGAAAGCTCATTTCCCGCCATCTAGAAATCGAAATTTTCCCGGGGAAGAACCACTTGCCGCATGAGTCACCCATAAGCATTGCCACAAGATGATTTAGAGTTTATAAAGTGAATGCAAAAAATAAAAGGGCCTATATATACCTTCATTTACTTGAGTTTGTTTTTATGATTATTACACGATTGCCATTTAGATGCCAAGAGAAAAATTTAGGCTGGTATTATTATCTATTTGCTAGTTTTTAGAAAGTAAATGGTGTGAATTATTAGGCCTATGTTAGATGGAGACCGGATTTGGATTTTGCGCGCAATATGGGATTAAAGCTGTACATACAGGTAACTCACTGAAATGTATGGTGTATAAGCCTATAAAAAATATTCTTCGCAAAGGGGAACAAAAAAAAACCAGTAAGTGCTCCCTGTAGGCCGGTAGGCGGGGTCCATGGGAAGAGCCCCGGGCTCCGACAAAACAACTTTTTCGAATAATTCGTGAAAATTCTATTAATTAAATTTCCACTGTTTTTGGGGTTTTTTTTCCAGTAAAGAATACAATGTCAAAGCAAAATACAATTGAAAACTCTGAAAGCAAGGACAGTTCTAAAGCTTTTAAGGTCATTGGGATCTTGCAAACGTAACATCATTGCATTAATGAATGGGGAGATGCCTCAAATAAAGGGGAAAAAAACAGAAGTAGTAGTTTGGGTGATTTAATGCCGGTTTCGTAACACTTTATAATACAGTGATGTCTTATAGTAGCAGTTATTCCCAAAATTTACAGCATTCATTTTGAAAAGAAGCCCCTCTTTTTACTTTGCAAAAATAGCCTAGAAAAGAAGCCCATCTCGAAAGAAGCCTATCCAAAGGTCGCACAAAAAATGAAGCCCAGGGCTTCTATACGAGATTTTACGGTATTTAAAATTCATCAGTAGCCCTGACGAAGTTAATGACCTAAAGAAGTAACGTCTGCTGTCCATTATATCTGTAGGTCTTAATAGTATGGATCAATCTACAATCACCGGAGCTGGTATATTTCCAACAAATCACGGTTATTAAAAATCAACGATTACGAGAGCTGGCAAATGAATAATTTAGAACGATTTTATGTTTAAAATAACTTGTAATAAGACTGACACAGTGTGATGTACCGTGCAAGCCCTCAACGGAGCTGAACATTTTTCTCAAGAGCAGAGGAATGATAGAAGCAGTACAGCCGCTGGGAATTTGGGGGGAGGGGGGCGTTTATTCGAAGAAAAACATAAACGCCTTATGGCTTCTTTTTTTTTCAAACGAGTCGTTTATTCCAAATGGGGCTCTAGTGGGGCGTTTATTCGAGGGGGTGTTTATTCCAACCAAGTGGTATTTAAAGAAATAGTGTTTTTCATAAAAACTTGAATAAATATAATTATTCAAAATAATTAATTAATTTTCAATTATTTGAATGAGCTTAAATTATCGTTTTTTATTGAAAAAAAATGTTTAATATTTAACAGACCCAAATATACCAGCTTTCTTGTATTCTTCGCACCTCACCTATCCTCTACGTGCCATTTGGCACATCAGGCTATTATATTTACAATATAAGTACCCTTAAATTGGTTGGTATAATTTAATGACGTTTGTCTGTACTAAGTCTAGTGATAGTCAGGGAAACTGAATTGTTTGGATTTGTCTCAATGGAAATTGATAATTATTTGACCCATATAATGAGCAATTCAATAACTGAATTTTCTTTAATTTAGTTTACCGATTTCAGCCCTAGAGCCGGAGTGGGTCAATCAAACTTAACAACTGACCAATCAGAAGGGCCAGGAATACGTGCGTGTCCTACGAAGACAGGCTCAGACAACATCCATGGTGCGGGCTTAGCAGAAAGCTCCATTTTATGACACGAAGAACCCGCCTCTCCTATAATACTGTTTAGCTGAACTATTTTACTGTTTTTTATATTTTGGGAACACTTCATACAAGCGCTCCGAGTTCCTTTGGTGTTTCCTTTCATCTTCTTATCATTTTAATTGTTGTTATTTCTTGTGTTTTTATGTTTTTGAGGATGAATAAATAAATTTGAATTGAATTTTAAAATTGGTTTTGTCAGTTTATCGTGTTTACCTTACAACATAGTGCAGTTGTTGCTCTTTAGTGAAATCACAAAGGGATTCGATTTTATCAACACCTGTAGCCTATAATCTAGGTTACTGTTCTTCAGTCTAGACACAAGATTTCATTTGATCGATAGTGACTAGCTTTTTTTTTCATCTTTGTATACATTCATTGACCGAGGCCCACATGCAAATCGTCAAATAAGACAATACAATACGATGGCCTAATTCTGCCCATCGTAATTTTCTACCTCAATTTAGAGGACGGCTGCTTCAAGTACATAAATAGTAGGCCTATATTATAAATTTAAACGTCTTGTTTCTTCATACATGAATGAATTCAAATACTTCGATAACAAAAATGAAGACACAGGAGTCATGTTATGCTGATGTTATAAACATAATTATCAAATATTAATAGAGAGAGTTGTACTCTTGATTAATTAATTGATAAGAAATGTATAATGTGTCCAGTAGGCCTATAGCGTAACGAAGGGCCGGAGGCTCCTGCACAGGGGCCATTTAGGGGCCAGACGTTGGTGACCAGGGGCCGAGTTTTTATAAATAAAAACAATATACTTCTATGAATAATAAGAGATTATAATCTTTAAGAATTATCGATGTGCAATGATTTACGTCCAAACTCTCAGTTCATAATCCAAATTACAAATCTCTATGACAGCAAAAAAATGTAAAAAAAAAAACGACGATAACTACATTAATTCCTTTTATTTGTTTTATTGTCTGTAGAAGCTGACTTCTATTGCTGGTTTGATTCAAGAAATCGTAAATCTCACCAGAAAATCCATGCACATAATACAGTATTTATATAACGCTACAACGAATAGGTCTAAAGCTTCCACAATTTAACCACACAAATATTTATTATAGAGGGCGTTATCAAGATTCTACCTAAAACCTAGTTACAACCGGAACACACTGACGAGTTTCATAAAGAAATGCTTTATGTATAAATTTATAATTTATCTTATAGGAACTGCGTATTTTCAGAGCATTTATAACGCCACTGTCTATATTTACAACATTTTGTGTTTAATACCATCATATAACTTTACTTCTTTCCTCGCACACACTATTTAAACATATACAGTGTAGTTCTCTGAAAAATGATAACATAAAAATCAATTTTGATTGAATATTTTGAACACAAAAATCATCAACTTCAGTATAAAATTTGTGAATTTCAAAAAGAAAAAAGTACCCAGAGTTACCTTCCAGATGTAATGAAAATCATAGAAACATTATTTTTATAATGGAAAAACATTTTTGAGTGAACATTAGGGGTAAATATTATTTTTAGTACACTAATTTATATGTTCAAATTGATAATTTGTTTGGTATTTTAGTTCAAAATGGTCAAGTTATTTTCAAAATTCATTTATATTTTGCTATTTATTAGAGGAAAATACATCTTCAACCCTGTATAGTCTTGACATGTGTTGTGTTTCAAGCCTTCCTATCATTAATTCGGCTTGTTCCTGTGCATATGTTACAGTACAAAATCATTATCAAAGCACCAACAATCTTTAAAAAAATATTGACAGCTATCAGTAAAATGGGTTGAGCAAATTGACAGTTTGTTCTATTGTTCATTAAAATTAGGCTAATCTACGAAAAGAGATGTAAGTACCCTTAACCATTGACCTATATAGCATACATTTCAGTTTATATAGCTAAATCATTCATTCATAATAAGACATAATTTTGTGTCATTGGACTGCTATCTACAATAATGTATGTACTGTTGTTACTGAAAAACAAAAATAACAGATACAGAAGAATATTATTAAAATTAAGTGGTTTCACCACATGTTCTCGGTCAGAATATGTAATTTGTTTATTACAACTACTATCAGTACATCAAGATACTTTGCAATTTGACTAAATCAGAAAAACCTCCTTAAAAGGAAGTGTACACCAACATCTAAGCGGTATATTATGTGTGGAGCTGGCCCGAGGCTGCTTAGTTTAATCGATTTAAAACGCGTATTGAGCAACTTATGAAAAAAACCGCCCTCAAAGATATGAATAAAAAGAACATTGTACAGTACCACATTAAAATCACTGCTATTAAAATGATTGAAAACAAATAAATGTAAGAAAGAACAGTGCTGTCTTACCAAATTTCTTAAAAACCATATACAGTAATATACAATGTACACAATCATTTTAAAAATTGTTTAAGAAAATTAAAATTGTACTTCAAATTATCTGATAGAGCTTACGATTACGATAAACTACTGAAAGCATTTGTTTCCATTATAGCACAATCCAGGGGTCCCAAGTTGTGAGAGTCTCCTGGAAGCTGTGAAGGCTTCTGCACATATGCAAGCATTAATAATTTCCGGGAAGAATACCCCATTTCCCACAAATTTATGATGTTTGCATGTTTTTACTACTGTCTTTTATTAAGTGTCTCCTGAAGTCAATGCTAGTGAGTATCACTGTCCACAGCAAAACATAATCAGAAATGTTAAGAAAGCTCCTTTATATAGTTCTCCTAAAACTAGCTTCTTAGGACCCCTGACAATCTTTAGTAGAAACTTCTTAATGGCCAAAGAAAGTCGTCTATTAGATTCAAATTCTCACACATTGTAGCCACACATTTTTTTTTATTATCCAGCACCTCTTGAACACATTATTTCACACTAGCATATTTTCCATACTTCATAAATGTGGCTATTGGCAGACATTGGAAAAATAAATATGGACCTCACCAAACAAAATTAATTACTGTAAAAAGTTTTGTCATTTCAGTTTTCTGTTCTAATTGCTAATTTTGGTTAAAGAAACTTTTAAAAAAGTGTATTTAAAAAGCTTTACAGTTTTTCAAGGTTTAGAGCCCATTCCAAATATAAAACACAATGAATCTTTTCGGATGGTCAAAGTTAACAACATTACAACCAACCAATCAGAAAAGGATCAGGAATATGTGTTTGTCTCACAAATGCATGTTCACGCTGTCACTCTGAAACCTTAGCAAAGGTAACAAAGAGGCGGGGCTTAGGGGAAAAGGTTTATTTTAAACACAGATTAAAATCTGTTAAATTAAATACACTACCACTGCACAGTACTTTCAACACCCACCATGAAAGTGTTGTGTATAGCTAGTAGTAAAGACAACAGCACATCTTTACAGCAACAGCTTTTGAAAGTGGAAACCTACTTTACTCTTTAGGGTACAACTATAAAGTAATACTTGTTCCACATGGTACATCATTCAACTGCATCACATCATGTTATATAGAAATGCTTTTTCGATGAATTTCACCTTTATAATTACCATTTGCTAGAAAAACATGGTTGGGGTTTAGCAAAATCTTAAGACTTTACCAGTCAGTATAAGTGTGTTTACCTGATGTAAACTACATAAAAAATTTATCATGTGCATATGATAGGTACGGACATGTCAGACCTTTACGCACAATTATGGGCACATCACATTTTTTTTTTTTTGTCGCATGAACTTTGATAGTGTGGACTGAGCTATAGGTCAAAGGTGAGTTTGATAGACTGCAACCAATCATTTGTGTTTAATATCCATTTCACATGTGCAGAAAATATGTGAAAAGTTGTAACTCAGATGATTCCAAATGTACCATATTATTTGTAACAAATTATTGTATACCATTGTTCACATGTATAGTTTCCATAAAAATCGCCGCGCGCTATCGCCAACACCTTTGGCGATGCTGATTAGTCAGCTGAATCAGGGAGTATTCCTGATTGCGTCGGGGACATCTATGCAGTGCAAAGATGCAGTGAAAAACGCAATTGCAACAGCGTAGCGATTCTAAGGAGACCAGCCTTATGATACATCATAATAGAAATATAAAATGATACTGTATTTTAAAAAATACCAGAAAACAAATGAATACAGCAAAACAATGTTACAAAGTAGCTCAAGATAACATAAACGAAAGTATATAATATAAAATATATTATAATAATTTTTAATTAAATTAGAAAAAATATTGTTACAGGTAATTTTAACTAAATTATTGTTTTTCTTACATACTGTACATACATATCACTGTAATCACATGATGTGATATAAACAATACACAAAATAGAAAATAAGTGATAATTTAAGAGAAATAAAAATAAAAATTAATTTAATCAGATCATGAGACCTTCATCAATGTTTAAAGTGTAGTTGAAATTATTATTACTTTAACAATTATGATATGGTAATGTGTATAATAAATTTACAACTGTTAAAAAAGAGTTTGAGAAGAACCAGTGTTTGATTACTTCATTAGGAGAATGTACATGCCAACATCAGCGCATAGAGACCATGTATTATGCACTATGAAAGTCCCCAACCATTTCTATTACACAGTGAACCCTCCTTTGTGAACTGGATATGTACGGTGGTCTCACGGTTTAGTCTCCAATAAGAGGGTATCCTTTGTGTAAAAAGATTGGTAATTGGTAATTTGGAAAAGTCAAGTGGTCTCGAATTAAAGGGTCTTGGAATTAGAAAGGTATCGAAATTAGAGGAGTCTTGAATTAGAAGGTGAACTGTACAACATTCTACAATCATCATGTTTTCGACAACCATGCATTATCATTATCAAGTGACGAATATGGTGTAATATGAAATTCCAAGAAAGAGCCAGGTCTAAAATTCACTACATTTGCTTCAATCTCATAGTTGAGACAAAATTTAAGGAATCCCTAGATTTTTTGGACATTGAGAAGAAAAAAGAAACTGAAAAATTTGGAAAGTGAATATTTCACATGTGAAAAATGAAACAGAACTAACTTGGTTATAGCATAATTTTAACCGGCGTCACAAATCTAGGCTGTGCTAGGCCAAAATAAAATCATCAGTTTCGTCCCTCTGTACAGGTGATTATTATGGTATACTGTAGCGCACATTATTTTTATTCCTGGATAGATAGGTGATCTAAATGGGCTTTGAATATTACAATGCCCTTTTGCAGTTTCATCAAATTCCAAACAGGAAGATGACTTATAAAGCAATTAGTGTAGTCTTTTTCCATACATAAACATGATCCTCACTAATATACTGCAGTAATCATCATTTATCATCAATATATTTCCCCTTCCCCACTCCTATGCTTATTACAATTTAAAATTAAAATGGCAAACTGCAGCGTATATTTACAAATGCTTTAATGAAGATGTCACTCACACTAAAGGACTTATTTCTGGCATGCAATACATTCTTTTGCAGGTAACCCACTTGCTCTACCATTGCCATGTGATGTTAATGATCGAAAATGGTATTCACACTTCACAAAATTCTTAAATGACTATACAAACAGGGTTGAGGAAATTACCAAATGGTATCAATAACCTATGGATGGGCAATTAATTACTATGACCTATGGATGGGCCACTGATTCTATCGCCTATGGCTTTTGGATTGGCCATTAATTCCTTTGGTCTATAGACAGGCCAATCATAATCCCTGGTCAATATACTGTACATGTCACATATTCCAATGGCTTACAGGCAGACTATATTACATAAATGACAAAAAACATGTACAGTACAGTAAAATTAACGGCCTAAGCCACTGTATGCCAGGTAATTCAATATCAATAATTTATAGACTAGCCATGCTTATAAATGGCCAACAAACTGGCTATTTAAAATAAATGGTTTACAGATCAGCCATGCTTTCAATATTTAATGGCCAATATATCAACGTTATACATATTAGCCATGCAGTTAAATGGTCAACACCATTAGTTATTCATGTCATAACAGCCTGCCCATTGAACATTATGGCCATAATTAATGGACCATGGTTTAAAAAATAATATCTATATAAATACCAATATCCTAACCCACAAAACAGCCGACAGAATTTTTCAAATGTCTCAGCATGGATGGTGGGACAGCACTTAAACCGACAGTATGATATAGGCTGTAGATGCAGAGCTGTTAGAAATACTGTGAGCTTTCTGGCAGTCAAGTTGAGAGCAGTTAAAAACCTCACATTGAAATATACACACACAGCTACAACAGCTTTCAATCACTTTCTCACATTTTACAAACAGGAAACTTTATACTTTCCAATATTGGTCAGCAGTGGGTCACTAGCCCGGCTGTCCCCACCATTACACAGTGGTTCACTGCTCTCTGAGGATTCAGATTGTCCCCCACTTGCCTCCCCTAGCCTGTTGTAAGGTACTTTGCTAGCCCCAGCAACAGTGTCAGTTTGGTTTGCAAGCGAGTGTAGGGATTCTTGCTGTTCATTAAGATCCCTTTGACGAAACTGTCCATTTGGCACCCGACTCGACGGATGCATCTCGTGAGAGTTGTAAATAAGCGGCGGCATCATTTTCTGGTTGACATTATCAGCTTCTATATCGTGTACTGCCATTTTACTCTGCTTGATGCGAAATGGGGTTGCCTTACGTTTGCCATTATCATGCCGTGCAGCGTAACACCGTAGAGCTCGGTCCAAATCGAGTGAATATCGTTGCTCATCTTTAGCGGCTAATTGTGCATCTGAATATGAGAGTGTACGGTCTTCTCGACTTAACGTTGTCCCGTTCTCATTATCCGCTTGCAGATTACCATTACTGTCATGCTCTCCTGTCATCGGGCTGACCGATGGCAAGGAACCAGTATTAGGACCACGATTCAAGCAGTTACCATTAGTGGCTACTCTGACTGGGTGGCACCGTCCATTTGCCATTTCCAGTTTTGCGATTCCGGTTTGAATTTTGGTTGTTGGACCTGACCCGGGTACATAAACAGCTACTAATTTTTTCTTGGCACCGTTCTGAACTTGTGGAACGACCGGTAAATATGAAGGCCTAGGTTTTGGACTACCATAGTTAGTTTCATCTGGTTCGTCGGTGCTGTTGTCCATGTCAACTGGACTGTTTTTGTATGATTTTGACGGGGTGTTTGTCGCTGAATTGAGGTGTTCTTGAGGTAGTGGTCGTGCCTGGGCGCACTGGAGTTGTTCTCTGTCTTTATTTGTATTTGATTTTGTTGACTGGCTGTTCACAGGTCGTGCTTGGTTGATAGTCATATTTTCTGGAAGAGTATTCCCCGTTCTGTAAAACTGTTGTCGTGGCCTATTATCATACATGTGCTCCGATGTGAGCGGCAGGTGCATATCCGTAGATCCGTGGCTTGGCGAAGTGCTTTGCTCGCTGTAACTATACATATCAGCAAGTGCCTCATTACCGCCGACGCGTGGAGCATATTTCAAATCGGTTGTGTATCTCTCAATGCTCTCGTCCGAATGATGCAGATTTTTTGGGTCAGGCTGCGAGAAAATGAAGTCCATGAGGTTTATATCAGAGTGAGTGGACACTGTTGTGCTGCAGGTCTCCGGCGAGAAAGCTTGTCTCTCATTTTTCTCAAGGGGTACAGATCGAGAGCCAGAAGATGCATTCGCCTCCTCAGACAGGGAGAGGGCTACATGGTCCGGCAGTTGACACACCTTCGGAGGCATTGCAGACTCTCTGTCTTTACGTACCGCCTGTTTCGATGGCCGAACCTTCACTGCAGAATCTGTGCTATCCATCGATGACTGTGAGCCCCCATTTCTGACAATGTCTGGTTGAGTTGGATTGACTGTAGAATTCACTACTTTTGTCTTGTCCCACATAACCATAAGCTCAATGATACGCTCCTCAATGCACAGAGCTGTCAATCGAGCCTCTGCGTCATGATCCCAACTGTCTTCCATTATCTCTTTTAGTGAACGCAGTGCCTAAAAAAACAATGTGTAAATTACATATGGTTAATTAAAAATGATAAATCTCAGCAATTTAAAGACTAACTATAACATTTACTAGCCCCTTCAGAGGCCTTCGTCTTCCTATCACATCTAGGCGTGCAGGACTAATACAGCCTTGCATGCTGCTTCAGGTTTACCAGAGGCCATGTTTAATTCAGTATGGAAATCCTGACTGTATATTTTTTGTTTTGTAAATATAACATGTAAATAAACCCGAGGAACACAGAATTACATCTCTAATCACAATGTCTTTCCTGTTTCATGGAAATGCACTATATCACAAAGTCTTCTTTCAAACAAAATAACTATTTTGGAGAAACGACAAATATTGATTCTATTTGAATACATTTATATTTTGTATTTGTACACTGATACGCTTTAAATATAAATATACAGTATTTGTAGATATTTATATGTTAAATCAGTAAATATGACATTTATTCCGTCAGACTGAGAGCAAGTACAGTATATTTAAACACTTTCTGATATCTACACTGTGTTTCATGTTGTCATTGATTTCAATTCTTATACGTACAACATGATTGTCAGTATATTTTCATGTGTGACAGACTGACAGACATTGGATTCTATTAGTATAGATTAGCTCTAGCGTTTGTCTACTCAGTGGATGAAAGCTGTACCTACGGGATAAGTAACATCTATAACATACATCACAGATAAAAAGGGGAGGTCCAACACACACATTCAGTAAGCAAATGTGGTTATTAATATGGCAAAATAAAGAAATGTGGGACAGAGATAGGTGACGTGAAGGTGAAGTGGGGGAGCTCATTGATTAAGTGAGGGGGATTAGGTAGAAAATAAGGCGATGAGATTTATAACGATTTAAGTGATATTTTTTTTTTTTATTCTCGACATTTTCAACCAGTAGGGGCCCAGTTTTTGTTTGTTTGTTTTTGGGAGGGGAGAGGAGGAACATACCTAGATACACCACTGGTCATCATTGACTATCATAGTCAACCATAACCATGAACATAAAATTGTTAGAATTGTGTTTTCAACTCTGAAAATATACTATCACCTAAGAAACGATTTACTGTTTTCTTTCCACAAGGTTCATATGTTATTCTTGTCAACGTAAACACGGACCGTCTAAGCTGTGAGCGGAATCTATTTACAAAGATTGATAGCACAAAGTAGCTACACTTAAGATAGATTATCACCCATTATTACTCACAGTGTAAATTTAAATCGTAAATTGTCCTTCATCAACACACATTTCATACAGCTCTCAAGACATTACTTTACAAAAGAAGGACACTCTATTTTGTAATCACTAACGTACAATCATTTATAATATTCTAATCTCTATCTGGCTTTATTGGTGCGGATGCAGGATTTGGTGGTAGGGGTGCGTGGGAATCCACACCATATCGGCCCAACCATGATTGGAGATTGGGGAGGTGCTAAACTTTTGAGAATGTAGACATTAAGGTGCATGGAAATTTCATACTTTTAAAATGCAGTACTGTATTTTTAATAATGATAAAAATAATATATATTAAAAATACAACAATTATATTTCTTAATACAATTTAGGGGGATGCGATCGCATAGTTGCATTATGATTGAATATACCTTTTATTTTGAGAATGTGTGTCGAAAAATATCAATTTAAGCATCTGCTAGATTTAATGTTAAATGAGTTAAAGTTAATGAACTGATAACAAGTCGATAAGATAACAAACATATATTATTCTAATACTAATAAAAATAAAAGTGGCATTATGTGGGTGTACCAAGAAAATAACAAAAGAAAATGCGTCTTTGTCTTTAAATATGATCTCAAATCTGATGTTAGTGATGTTTTTTTATCTTAATTTACAGTAAAATTTGTGAATGGCAAACTATAATGGATTATATTCATAGGGATACATAGTACACTACAGTATATTTTTGCCATTCCTTATTTGCCCACCATCTCTCAATCAATATCCTATTAACCCAAATCTGTTGACAGCGAGATTGCTTAGAACCCTGCCTGTAGGGACAGCTTCACTAACAACCTTCACCAAGCAAAACTTAATGCTTGCAGCTTTATGGGAAATTTGAGTAACTACACATAAGTATGTTACATTTATCAGTGTTGAGAACAAAACAATTTTTTTGTTATTTTATCCAAAAAAAATATTTTGCCTGTTTCTGTTTCAGTTTGAAAGCTGTTTTTTTTTTTTTTTTTTTTCTTTTTTAAATGTCGACTTGTACAGCTTATTTGGGGAAAAATCAATAACGCTTGGATTTTTTTTTTTTTTTAATGTCTACTTGTACGGCTTATTTGGGGAAAAATCGATAATGCTTGGAACAAACAAAAGAAAAGTACTCAGATTTCACTCTCATATGTAAGAGGTGATAATGACCATAGTGTTTGCACAAGCTTATTAAAGGTAACAGAGGCAGTAGGATAGTAGCTGCAATGATATGTTGTTGGTGTACAGCCATTTTTAAAGCTTGATAAAGCAATGAAGAATATGATGATTATCAAGATAAGATCAAGATGGCGACGACGGGAGCGGTGGTGGTGATGGTAATTATGAATTATGTTGATAATAAAGACAATGGCGATGATCATGATGTTGATTATGATGATGAAAATGACAATGATGAAGATAGTGTTACGATAATGAAAATGGTATGATGATAATAGTGATGAGGATGATGAGTAGGATAATAATGACAAGGATGATGATGATTAAGATGATGATGAGGAGGATGATAACGACGATAATATAATCACAATGATATGATGGTATAGATGATGATAATGATTTTGATAATGATGATGAAGATGATGAGGATGATAACAATGATGATACAATCACAATTATATGATGGTAAAGATGATGATGATAACAATGATGATGATGATGATGATAAGGGTGATGATAATGATGGTACAATTACAATGGCATAATTGTAAAGATGACGATGTGCCATATTGAGCCTAATTCTGATATTTACCTGATTATTTTCCTTCCAAGCATCAGGGAACTTGGGGCGTTCCTTCTTCACAGACACTAATAGTTGCATATCTTCAAAACTTGGGCGCTGACCAACTTCAGCTTCATAGGGCAACTTATAATCAGGTACACCAGCTAATAAAAATACAAGTAAAATTATCTTAAATGAAAATATTGGCATTTAAATACTAAAATACCTGGTAGTTACGTCATATTAAGTTTAACCACTGATCAATGTATGTAGAATCTGCCATTAAGTGGCTGCTATATCATGCATTTTTTATGAGTTTTATTGAATGAAGAACATTAAAATTATGTTTTAATTTAAATGTCATCAAAACACTAATTCAAAACAGCGGTATCATCATAATCACAAGTTTAATGTCTGTTTTTTCATGTTGCACTTGCAGGCTCATATAATAATACAACCTGTCCTATGCCAGATCACAATTAGTAGCTTTAGACCACCTCAATTCATGACAAAAAACTGCATTTAATCGGACCTAGACACAAAGTTGACAACCCAATTTGGCAGTCTTTGAAGCTACTGGGTGAGAAGGTGGATGATCAACCAGCAAAAATAATAATACCTGTAAAAAGGGTGTAAAAACAGCCAACAATCCTTACTTTTAAAAGTATAAGGATTAGTTTTTTTTTTTAGTACTAGATCAAAGATTAGTTTTTGGTTTGTTTTAGACACAGTTATCAATTGCACCGAGAATAAAGTCAACCAATGGAATTCAAAATAGAGGGGGGCCCAGGAAGGGAATTTCACGGATGAAGGGTCAAGGCATGAAATTGAAGTATATCTCATAATTTGCATTTAGATTTGACTAAATTTTCTTTTCCCTCATCTTTGTATTTATATTTGGGGGTCAAGGCTGGCTGGGCCCCCTTGAAATTCCCTCTGTCAAAAAATCCAATATTATAGAACACTATTAAAAACACTTCATTCTCACCAACTAGACATACATACATATTCTCATACATACGTACATATCCTGTACCTACGCACAATGTGATGCTGTGGCAGCATCATACTATCAGCGCTTAACATTGACATGATGAATAGACAGATGCATTTTCTTCTTAGCAAAATAACAAGGATTAAGTTACTAATATCAATCGTAGCACTCAGACAGATCGTTCAAGTTTCCTTTTATAAATCGTCTACATGTGTCAAACTGGCCATTGGCCTTCTACAAGCAGACATTAACAATCTTAAAATGGAATTTTAAAGCAAAACCAAACAGGAAAAAATGATAGTTAAACATGTGGTTACATCCGGCAACTGACAAAATTTAGAAATAGTAGACCTACAAACTTACATAACTAATCATTAGCGGGTAATCAGCTGTAATTTTATACATACTCATCAAATGCTCATCTGTATTTTTTGTACATAATGCCAAATAAAAAAAAGAGATTAGTTTATCACCCTCGCCCACGTCTTCTATTGTATTGAAAAAAAGGAAACATTTTTGGGAGGAAAATTGTTTTTGAATTTTTTTTTTTTTTTTTCATTTCTTTTTTGTAAATAGAATACATTGTTTGTCATGTACTTTTACTTTGGATACCAATGCACCAGCAAACCCAGGGGTGATTTGGCTTTAGCAAAATAAAAAGTAAAAATAAAATGCCTCCCTCCCTCATCACTTTTCCAGCCTAGATAAGGTGATAAACTAATAATTATATTTTAAATTGGGACTAAAATGAGTCAATCTGGAACTTGCTCGACCGTGTGTATCCGATACCCTACCACACAGTTAAACGCAGAAAGTTGTATTCCACTAGATTTGTGTGCTTGGGGCTAAACTGAGGCGGCATTATGTTAGGGTTGGCTGCTACAATCTTGAAATGGTATACAGTTACTTCATCAGAACTGACGACGAAGAATGGCAAGTTTTTCCAGATCAAAATAAAATCAGATCAAAATAAAATAAAATCAAAATCAAAATCAAATTTTAATCCAGAATATCGTCATTATACCTTCCAGTTAAATTGTGACTAATGAATGACATACCGTAAAACCTGGAATTGAAGCCCAGTGGGCTTAATCTCGAATTGAAGCCCAACTTTCTAGTTTGCAAAAGTAGCCTTGAGAAGAAGCCCATTTAAATACACTTCATGATATAAGTTGATGTTACAGTGGCTTTATTTATTGTTTTATAGTTCAAATTTACAGCATTCATTTTGAAAAGAAGCCAAAAGTAGCCGCGAAAAGAAGCCCATCTCGAAAAGAAGCCCATCCAAAGTTGGCAAAAAAAAAGAAGCTTATGGGACTTCAATTTGAGGTTTTATGGTACAATAAAAACAACATGGTTACAACTACAACAAATACCTAACAAAATGAACCCAATATGAATTATTTAAATTACAAAAATACATATTGAAAGATGAATTAGGTAAAAAATGAATTTACATCTGATTGAGTATATTATGAAGTGTGATATATAGGGCTGTTATTGTACCTGTTGTGAAAAGTAATGGTGGTTATGAAAAGCTACTGTAGTAAAATTTTGTCCTGTTATGAAGGCAGATATATATATATATATATATATATTAACATTTGTAATAACTGATGTAGTAGTTGTCGTACATGGGCAGCCGTCACACATTGAAAAATGTAGAACAGGTCATGTGTGTTTGTATGCACAATATAGTAACCTCAGAATGAAGGCTGAGAGCAAGGACTGACATTAGTAATTAAACATAATCTTTGTTTTTCGCCAAGAAGCAATTTTAAAAAGCATCTATTTAGTATCAATCTAGAGAGAAGCATCTTTAGCTGGCTAAACTGGTAGTTAATGTGTATGCACTGAACCAAAACAACTTTTCAGGCCCCTGGTACAATACTACTGTTACTTCCTTGGATTACAGCCACAGAGCTGAAATACAAAGTTACTGTGATGCCATTTTGTCTTTAGCGAAAGGTCTTTAAACCATTGGCCCATGCATGATTGTAAATCAAGGCTGTAAAAAATAATATTTTTATTATATAAAACATGACCAGTTTGACAGGTGTATACAAGTAACAAATGGATACATGAAAGATTTAGTTTTTTTATTTATTTATTTTCTTTTATTTAGGCACACAACACATGAACCAAGGATTATCTAGCGAATATATCACTATCCTACTTGTAGGTGACAATCCCTTTCACAAGACGAACATATACACATGATGTTTTACACAAAGAAAAGGAGGTTTAGGGAGTGGAGTTGTATTGGGCATAAGAAAATATCCTGATAGGAATTAAACCCAGTGCCTTGGAATTAAAAGACAAGTATCTTAACTACCAAGTTCACTATTAGAGAACACCATACTATAGCTTAGTCAGCTAAACTGGTGGTAGCCACTGTGTGTGCACTGAAGCATGGTGATCCTTTCAGATCTTTGGTTCCTGGATAAATGTTAAGCCAGGCTCCAGTGGAAAAATAAAATTTGAAATGTTGTACAACTGATTTTTCACAGAAGGAGTGTCCGACGAAAAACTCAGGAATTAAGATACACATTTTTTATTTTTTAAAGACCAAGAGAAAATGGGTGGTTCCACCCCCTTTTTCCCCACCTAACCAGTCTTATATTTTTATTTTTTAATTAAGGAAGGTATCACCTGTTTACAATGATGTAATTACTGTATGATCGATTTTTTTCGTTTTGTATTACCATATGTAATAATAATTACTGTAATATTAAAAAAGTTAAGGCGTAGACAAAACATGAGCACTAGGCTCAGAGATGAGAGTGGACATCTCTCTAAGGCATTTGGGCCAGACTGTACAATGCTGTAGGGGGTCCTCCCGGACAAGTCTACAAGTCAGTTTATGGTAATCTCCTAGCCTAGCATATGCCAGTATTCATGACTTGCACAGCGAGGGTTTTAAAAGCCGACATTAAGATACAAGTCAACTATATTGTCAGAATAAAAAAATATTTATAGAATGTAGAATCATTCATAAATATACATGGGATAAATAGTTAAATAAATAATTCTTAGTAATTAAAGATTCTAATCCTGTTCATTCATCTTCTGTATTACAAGTGATGTCTGCATATTATTTGATATTATTTGTTGTTTAAAGTCTAACCCTCCCTAATCTACTATACGATAATGTCTGAATATAATGGATGAGATGAATCTTGCATAATAAAATTAAATTTATATTAATGCTTGCGGTACACCACGTATACCTACGTGGTGTACAGCCAGCATTAATATATATTAGTACTTCGCCATGCAAACCTTCAAACAATAAAATTAAATTTCCTAACTATTAAATTATTTTAAAAATATCTTCTAGGATTTTACATCAGCACCGATCACTCTGCCAGCCTTGTTCACAATGCTCTGTAATTGACCCTTATTTATTATATATGGTGACATTAGACAATAATAAAACAAGAAAGGGTTGACTGGAGAACTAAGGAATAAAACTTGAATAAGATGAGAGCCAACATTAAATCATTTTATTCACGCCACAAATTCTTTGTCAACAGCATAATATAAAGCTTGATTCTACAAGGCAAATTTATTTGCACAAACTGAAAGCGCAGATTCATACGCATGCGCATTCACGTTTCTATCGGAGCTTTTTGCTTCAGTGAACTATTTGCGAAACAAAAAAATGCATAACCAATCAGAGCTCAGGAAGCGATCAGACACTTTTGATTCACGCGAATAAATTTGCCTAGTGGAAAATGGGCTTCAAAGCACATACATCCACTTCAAGCAGTGGTAAATAAAATATGAATCATGGATTTCATGTGCATTTTGTAGTATTATTTCAAAATGAAATTAATGAAAATGAGAAAAATATCAAGATATTATTACAATAAAAAAAAAAAGAATTAGAGAATTTTACAAATCGCTGAGGCACTACATTTCAGTAGCTGCCTAATGCCAGACAGGAAAGGCATCTCCGAGTGGTTGTATCACACTAGAACTGCAAATAACATTACAACTAGCGAGTAATCTATGAAAAGGGTCAGACATTATGGTGTATAATCTACAGATTAAACATTTTCTCTTGACATTTCTGCATCTATGAAAATGAAAACCGAAAACCGTAGTTGAAACTTAATTCTTGTGTTCTGATTATTATCAAATTCTTTCTGATAGCAATGTATAATGAGAGTCTTCAGTTGTAAAAGCAGGTCGCAGTCAGTTTGAAAATTTAAGAGAGGGATAGCCTTTAAAGGAGGTAGAATGGCATTCCTCTTAGAATTTACAAATTGTTATTTAAAACTAAATTAAAAAACAAATTATATATGAACAGTATTATAACATTGATTTAATGGCAAATAACTTACTGACAATATTTACAGTATGAATTAGAATAACATTTCTTAGAGACTTTACAAATTATTTTAGTTTTTAAACCATAACCATAAAAAAAAAATTATATAAAAATATTATAGCAATGATTAAATAGCAAAACAACTTATTAACAACAATAAATGGAAGCAGTTTGGTGTAGTGGAAAAGGGTTTGTTTCCCAAGCTCAAGGTTGGGGTTTCAATACCTTGCTGTGCATTATGCTTGTGTCCTTGAGCAAGGCAATTTATCTGCATTGCTTATCTCCACCCAGGAGTATAAGTGGGTATCTAAGGAGGTTCGAGTGCAAAATGCACAGATATATTTCATGCAGCAAACTATGGAATTTCTCTCATAGGCATCGTTCCAGTGACTGAGGTAATAATGTGGAAAAGCGCTCTGAGACTTAGTTGTGTAGAGCGCAAACATTATTAAGAGCACAGAGAAGCACGTATAAGAACAAAATTTAATGATGAAACTAATAATAATTGCACTTGAATCCACATGTGAACCCTAATAAATGCAAGATTAAAACTCTGTGGCTAATGCTGGTTTGGATATAAAAGGATGACTAAGATATTTGTTTTTTTAGTAATTAAAATATTAAAACTTGCCAATATGACAACTAGTGACTCTTAATGTACAAATAGGGTATGAAACCAAAACCACTATTGCAACTGACATCCTTTAATAAGCCTAATCTTGGAACAATTGCTATGTAACATCAAAATTATTATTCCCCCAAACAATATTAAAAATGTGATAACTATGCAAATAACTTCAATTCTATTATCTGCAAAACCACAAGATGGGAAGCACAGCTGTGATTGGTATTGCCAAATAACATTTTGTTATTTTCCTGCACTCGCTGCCAGAATTAAATTGTGTAATTGCCAAATTATCATTTGCAGCATATCAACCACTGCTCGCAGTCAATTGGAGCACTCTATAAATCTGTCCTATCATCATTATCAATAGTATAAGTAACACGATGTTAAATAGTATATATGGTCCGTATCAAGATTCGAACCCAGGGGTCCCAAATCTCCCGGAAGTCGCAGGAGTCTCCGAGAAATCGGGACAGCCTCCCGCACTCCTGCAAGCAAGCACGAATCTTCTGGAAAGTAACCCGTCACCCACAAATTAATAATATTTGCATGTTTTTATTAGTTGTGACGATGGATAAGCTCATTCAACCAGATCTCCCAGAAAGGCTTTCTTCCAACTTCGAACCCTGCGAACCTAAGACTTTCTGAGTAATGTACTGTATGGTTGCTCCACCAACTAATGTTGTTATCTTTTGGCAGTCTCTATTATATACTTTATCAAGAACAATGAACCCAAAATAATTTAACATGGAACCATCTGCCATTTTTAATAATAATCATATTAAATCTGTTTGTGTTATTTGTATTTTCTCTGACTGGCATGCTGAAGACTTCAATCCACATCAAACAAGTGTTATATAAATAAGGCCATAATTGAACTTTGAACTTATTCACTTGCTTTTATCATCTTCGAAATGGATGCTATAATTGATCTTTGAACGTTGAACATAACTCAATAGAGCCTATGATAAGCTTTTTATCATCTTCGAAACGGAAGAAAATCCCACAAATGCGGAAAAGATCCCAACTTCGGAAATGGAGAGATCAAAGAGCTTTGTAAGATAATTATTTTTTTTTGTTTTTTTATGAGAAAATTCCACAAAATTAGAAGGTGACACTAACTTATAATCTAGTAGTGCATGATACCAAAGATAATAAATAGCCAAAGATAGAGCAGCTTCTCAATATAGTGGAACATCCGTTCGAAAGGCATTGTGGGTACACGGAGAGCAATTTTACACCGTCCGCGCGGTGACGCTATATAGCAATAATAAAGACGTCGCTCTGGTTCTTTTGTTTCCTGTAGTTTCTCCACTTTGTAAAATGTTAAAATTTTACCCTATTCGCGGGAGGGTGGGTGTTCCATCAATTTTAATACAAATACGTGGAGCAGCTCATTCTTCTGCTATTTAATTTTATAATGATTTTTTGTTGTTACATAAATGCTGATAGATAAATAGGGACCTTGTATTATGTCCATTATTTTCAATTGCAACCCATTAAGTTATGATCTTTTGGCAGTCTCTGTTGGGGTGAGGGCTTGGCCTGCCCAACAGAAGCTTAAGCTCCTTCCCCGGGGGATGCTGCATTGTGTCTATCACCTAAATAAAACTTGCTATTGATGACTTTGAGTATTGTTGAGTAAAGGTTTATTAATTCCTGTATTATTATTATTATCATCATTATTATTTCATTATACATTTTGATAATCTTTATAAAACCATGAATAGAAGCCCTTAATTTCAAGAAGCCCATGGGCTTTCAAGATAGTAGGCTCACATTATGTACAGCAACTGTACATGCATTTCAAAGAAACAGAGAGTCCTTACATTATGTACAGTAACTGTACACACATTTCATAGAAACAGAGAGGAAGTTCTATAGTTATTATTATTAGTTTGGTAATTTAATGCTGATTATACACTCCATGATACAGACTGATGCCCTCTCTGATGTTGTGATTGGATAAAAATACTCAACTGTAATTAAACTAAAAAAAAATGTTCTTTTTTTTTTTAATAGGATTTCATGGTCGAAAAATGTTTTCAGCAGTCCTGCTGTTTTATAATATTAATTTACAGCATTCATTTTGAAAAGAAGCACACTTCTTTTACTTTGCAAAGTAGTCACCAAGGGACACAAAACATCTCGAAAAGCAGCCATTCCAACAGTCCTAAAAAAGAAGCCCTGGGCTTCTAATTCAAGGTTTTTCAGGTACACAAATAACTTAATATTATAAATATAATTAAAACTCACCTGGAAAGAGATCTGAGCATCTGTTTGCTATCTCCCAAATGACAAGTCCTAAGGCATAAATATCAACCTGCTTGAGGGCAGATTCACAGTCTCGCAGATTGACAGCGCCTTCTAGAGCTTCTGGCGACATATAACGAACAGTGCCAACCTGATAAAGTAAGTGTTTCAAAAATATCAACTATTAGGATAAATATTCTCCAGGGGGGAAAAAAAATGGTAGCATTTTGAATATAAATTAAATATTACCAATCTCAGTGTTTTGTCCTTGAATGGAATTTTATTTTTCTGAAAATTATGCAAAACAAATTGATAACCGTAGGAGTCAGGAAGCAAAACCGTTTACACTAATTAATTATGCAGCGATTCAAAGATTAATCAATAGAAAGAAACATAGTTGATGTGATTAATAGCAACACATTGTCAAATTGAATATTAAAAAATAAATTTGGACAAGATTAAATCTTGTAACAAAACTGTAACAGTCTTATAACAAATTCTACCCACTCTTCATTAGTATACATTATTACTGTTTGTAGACATTAGTATGAATTTCTGGGATACTATATGTATTAGAACTGATTTAAATTATTGATTATTCTAACTATAAAAACAACTGTTTCACAACATGCTATTAGTGTTTTTTGTTTTTTTTCTTTGGCTAATGTTTGAACTATTAACCCTTCAGTGCAATGAAATTAGCTTTCCATCTTCAGGTTTCATTTTCTTTTATTTTATTTTTATTCACATTTGACAGCGGTGAGCTCAACACTTACAGAATAGAATACATAAAACACAAGGGAAGATGGAAAGCATCAAAAACACTTAACTCTAGACATTTCTTAATTCTATACTTAAAAAATATTCAAACTATTAAAGAATGTGTCAATGGTCAAATCCAATTGAATAAATGAGTTAAAAAATCTAAGTTCTCTACAAATAAATCCGTTTTTAAGAATACTGGTTTGAGAAAATGGAATATGAAATAAATTGACCGAGGCCTGACAGTAACATTTACTTTTAACAGAAAAACCTAATAAAAAAAGAAGGTACGGACCAAATAATCCCTCCAAGCATTTAAAAAAGAAATACAATCAAAGTAACTCCTTCGTTGACTTAAGCTTGGTAAATTAATAGTAGTTCAACTAATATTACAATATTTACAATCATAATTTAAGAAATTTATGTTGCATACAGTGCCCAATCTGTGGTCTAGTTTAAAATCTAAAAGCATGTTTGCTGCAGTTTAAGAAAGGCACTTTCTGCAGCTGGAGTTTCTGGTTAATGCAAAGCCGGGCACTTGCTACGTCCGACGGTCTTCGGCCGATGCGATTCTACGGAGAAAGCAACACCACGACACGCGAGGAACATATCGTTCAGACTGCCACCGGCAATCAGCACATGGTGTACTGCGGTCGTAGGACGTAACGAATGCCCGGCTTAAGAGTTTAACTTCAATTTTTATTGTTTACTAAATTGTTAAATTGCTGCAACTGCTAATAGCTATGTAATTATTTGAGGCATGTTGTGGCAAAATACAGTATAGCAAAAGAATTGAAATTCTACTAATTGGTAATTTCAGATACCTGAGTATGTAATCTATAAAACGAGGGAGGGAGGGGAGGGAAGCTTTTTTGTTACTTGGGGGGGTAAACACTACTCCTGGTCCTGGAGCCAAAATAAACATGATTTTAAGGCATTTTCTAAAGTTACTTGTGCATTGTTTATTGAATTAACTACCAAAAAAACCTGGTTTGTTGACCATTTTCACAACTAAGACGTTGGCACATGATTAATAGATGTTAAACTTTTGATTTACAGTAAAACAAATTTTGATTTTTAAGCCTTTTTTAAATTCCCATATTTTACAGCTCATTTACTCAATACTGGCCTGTGCGAGAACTTCAAATTTTACTACGACATGCCACATTATTTAATACTTTTAAAACATTATTGTTGTATGACTGCGGAACTTACATCTGTCAATGAACTTGTGTCATCATCCTCTCCAACTAATCTAGAACCAGACACCTTCATAGAAAAACCTAAATCGCCAATCACACATGTACCGTTAGGCCGTACAAGAATGTTACGCGAGTTGATATCCCGATGGACTATAGCTGGCTTTACAACATCTAGTAGTAGAAAACAATAATTTAGAATAGCATAATGAGTTGCGTGTGCTATATTCTGAGCTTGCTCATAATAATGTACAAGGATCCATTTATTTCAATGAAAATAAATCCATGAATTTATCGTTAATATCGATTACTCTAATTCTGAGTTACTGTTAAGTTTTATAAACAACATGCAATAAATCAAAATAAATTTAAAAGGTGAAACACATCATTCTCTTTAACAACTAACTTAATATCAATTTGGCTTGTACAGTATAGTATTAGGAATATAATTATTTTAAATACTGTATTTTCCTTTTTTTCATTTCGTATCTGTAAAGAAAGGCACTTTACAAATGTTCTGATTGGATTGGATTGGAATTTAATAAGTATTTTTACTGTACATATTTATGCATCTATTTATTGGCTTTACTAAAGCATTTAAGTATTTCTACTTTCAGAACAAGAGAGACAAATTTACTGGCTCTTGTCCAATAAAAAAGGCAATGTTGCTATTTCAACTTCTCATAAGGATTAGATATCCAAGGACTTCTACCACGCCCCAACCTAAAGGGAAGCACAGCTATGAAAAAACACAGAATGACAAGAGAGAAGTGGACAGGCTGCCATTGTTAAATTCATATGGTGCATGCTATCCCAAAACCAAAATCAATGTAAAAAAAAATGATAATTTATTTTTTTTTAATTTAGTCATTATCCACATTATAAATTTTAAAATGATGGGTCATTTACTGCACTCAATATTCTACAGTTGAACTTGCCTAAGTTGAATCCAAAGAGACATTGAAATATTGTTCGACTTGGATAAAATTTGACCAGATTGTTAATTAATGGACAACACAAAAATTTGAAATGGAAAACACAACAATTTGCCATGTAAAATAAGATCAACTTAGAAATTATTTGAGTTTTATGCAAAATTAACTTCAGCAAGTTTAACTGTATCGCCAAAGTTATGGCTTCACATACTAAAATATACAATACTGCCACTATAATTATTAAGTTTAACATATAGCAACAGAACACTGGTTTTGAGATGGCGTGCCTAATATGGCTATCAAAAAATGGACATGCTATAGTTTAAAAAAATATATAAAAAGGCAGACCTCCATTTTTAATTTCTTGATGAATATACGCAATGCCTGCAGCAGTAGTCTGGGCAAGTCGGCACATTCCAAACCAGTCAAATACATTTTCCTTGAGGTAGCCCATCAAAGAACCTCCTGATATGTACTCCACTACTAGCAGATACTCCATCCAACCATCTTCTCCAAGCCTCTCCGCAGCACCATAATATTTCAAAACGTTGGCATGGTCGAGCGAACCTATGCTGTAAATTTCACTTTCATTTAAAAAGCAGTTCCGTGAGGACCCAGCGAATACCTTTACGGCAACCTCTTGTTCACCAAGCAAGCCCCGGTATACGTTGCAGTATCGTCCTTGGCCAACTAAATTAAATAGTTGCATTTGTTCTATATCAAATGTTGGCTCCAAGCTGCCAGACTCCGTCGATGGCAATTCGGTTAAGGAGTCCTTGAAGGCCAAGAAACGAAGACGGCAGATCAGGAAAACAGAAACAACAACAACACTGAGAAAAAATAATGGCACTATGGCCAAGATGATAGTCTTTATACTGCTGGAATTTGGTGAAACACCAGAGCCTACAAAAAGGAAAAAAACAACATAATGTCAGTCAATTGTATTTCTTTTCTTTTTGATGACTTGTATATGTAAGTTCAACCTATAGATGACATGAGGCTTTAAACATTTTCCACCAGTAGATTCAAGGAGGAAGGCAGCAGGCAGAGAAAGTACCCCAGGACCAGCCAATAAAGGCTGGACAGGGTGAAAAAAAGAATGATGTAAAGAATATCAACTTTAAACTAACTACTCTATAATGTACAATAACCAAGAAACCAGGGGCCCAAGAAGATGATGGGCATTGCACACAATGGTTAAGTGACACTCCAAATACCAACCCGACTGACATCATCAGCATTTTATTGCCTAATACTGTATGTCACTGATAATAAATGAATGACTGCAAGCATGTACATATTTTTATTGTACCATGAATTATAAAACATTAATTCTATGTAACCATTTAAATTACAGATATCTAAATAAGTTAAAAGCTGTTAGCCCTCTCTAAGGCATTCCACCCGACCACAATGCAATTCTTAGGCAGCCCCAGACATGGCCATTAGACCTGGTAGAAGTGCACTCAAGGCCCAGGGCTGCTCTGGGAAAATTTGTTCTGCACAAAAAGTATATATAGCAGAGAAATTTATTATTACAGACAATGTACAACCCCCCTTCTAAAGTAGATCATCGTTGAACCACAGCACCAGTACATTAAACATTGGATGGGAGCCAAGCACATCAAATGGCTTTGACCTACAGTGTGACATCAATTGTTTAAGATACATCATGTTTTTGTAGAAATATACAGTAGTTTCGGGTAGAGATTTGGGTAAATTCTTTTGTAGTTGAGAAGGGTAAAAAACAGTAAATCCAATTTTCACTTTAGCACGTTGACTGTCTGACCTTTTTTAAGGTTCCTCCCTGTGTGCCACAACAAGTTTATGTACAAACATACTTTTTTGAAATACTATCTAGTCATAAACATCATCAAAATGGTGTCTAATAAATTGGCAGGAAAATATTAGGGGTCGAGCCCGGGGAGCTCACTTGCATACAAACCAAACAGGGAGGTGCCGGAGCAGGCCAAATGGCCGAGTGGTTAAGGCAGGGGCACCGTGATCATAGCCAAGAATATCGGCAAGGGTTCACAGCTGGCTCGCACGTATAGTTATGATGGTACAACAAATCTTCTCAGATAAGAACTATAAACCGTAGGCCCAGTGTAGACAAATGGTCATGTGCACTTTAAAGAATCCAGTACCTCTTTCGAGATGAGTAGGAGGTTACCCCGGTGTACTAGTTCACTTGGCGCCCTGTCGTGGACAGATGAAAGTGTGCCGGTTTACTGGCTGCAGAGGACATGAAGTGACCCTCAGGGGAGGAGAAACTTGAAAAGTGCAACATCTAGTCCCCAGCGCATAGAGACCTTGTTTATTTGCGCTATATAAATCCATCTATTATTATTATTATTATTATTATTATTAAGTCTGTGGTTCTACAACGCATAACAAAAGAAGTAATAAACACTAGAATGATTTTCTTTTAATAAAAAATTGAGCTGATACTGTATTGAAAATGAAAAGGATGGTGAACCATTCAGTCCAACAACAGACAGGGTTAGAAGTTCAAAGGTCATCAAAGGTCATTTTATGAAGATCCTTCATGTGGTTGTACACAGACAGCTCTGTCCAAACTATCAAATTATATTTGACAAAAAACTGCCCATATATAGACATCATGATATATGGTCATGCTTATATGGTCATGATGTGATGTCATCATGACATCAAGACCATATTTAGGCATGTCACTTGTTTTTGTCAATTAAAATTTGACAGTCTGAGCAGTAGGGACTTGGTAGCACAAGTGTGGGGAATACCAGGTAAAATTGGTAGTTAAAGTTCCTGCCCCATCCCGTATCATCAAAGCAATATAATTTTTCACAGGATTTTAGCGAATTTTTTTGCTAAACTCGGTGCCAAACCTACAGTAGAGATTGCGAACGGACATAACTGCTGTCTTATTCGCTAACGGGAACCAGAACAAGTTTAATTTGTTAGGTTACATGGCCGTAATATTAGTTCAACCGATACTGGATTTTGGTAAATGGCAGTACAAGTTCCTAATAATTTTCAGTAGAATAGGTAGCGCAATTGTCTCATGTATTGGAGTGGCTGCTGCAGACCCCCGTAAGGTTGGTATGCAAGTGAGCTCCCCAGGTAGGGGACCTACTGCTTATACCTAAATTGGCAAAAGTATAAAAAATTATACCATTCCAAATGACAAAGTGAAATTTAAAAATGCAGAAATATTTTCATTGTAGCCTATACAGGTATGTACAGAAAATAATGAATGTTATACCGCAAGCGCAATGAGATAGAATATTTCCAAGAGTTGAATTTCATCGAATGAAAACGAATGAAAATACTCTACCTCATTGTACAATAGCAACATTAAATTTACTGTAAGATCCTTGAAGTTTAGTCAGGTTTATTTATATTACACAAACCGTCTATGCTCGTGTATGGCTGACCTACATATTCTTACCTCCCACAGCGGAGTAGTTCATTGACTAACAAAGTGGAATGGCCGAACATTGCCGAATAGAGCCAAAAATTAACGAAAAGGTACATCGGTTGTGCGATGCACTCTTTTTATTAAATGAATTCATTAATTTAATCACATGTGATCTATTATAGATGTCCAATCTTGCTGTACAAAATGAAAAAAATCGAACCAGCAGTAGCTTGAACTAAAATTTTCCTTATCCAATGGACATGCTACAAAATCTCATAAAAATGTTTTGAAATTCCAGATCTTTTCTATTTTAACTATGACCTTTATTCAATAATTTTTTTATGGAAATTAATAATTATGAATGATAATGTCTTAAATTTCTATTTTAAAATATTTTTTTAATTTTTCCTATCACAACTTTTAATATTTTTAGAGAGCAACGTTAAACAACATTCTCTATTTGAAAACTATTGCTATGTTTCATCAGTTGTACTATCAATTTTTATTGATTTTTTGACATTTTGAATAGCATGCATTTTTATACTGAAATTACTTGGTTTCAAGTTTCCTTGAATTTTGTAACCCTGCCATTTCAGATTAACTGCTAGAAACATATTTTCTGATAAACCACAATAAATAAAGAGTTATCTTTGTTAGGCACCTCAGGCAAGACTTGTTTATACCTTGTTTAGCAAACCCACCGCCTGCAAAATAATTATGATTTTGAATAAAAGTAACATTTTATTTTTTGGCCAATTAGCACACCTGCCACCACGATAAAATGGCAATTTCTGACACAAATAAAAGCTTTTCTTTATTATTACGCCCGTCGCTGCATTGAAATCTCAAAAAATAAGGTATGTATATTTCTTCCTAATTATAAAAATTTAAAGCATTTAACCATCCCACTGCTTACATTCACTAATACAAATTTATTTTTTATTTTCTCCTCTGGATGTTTTTGGCAAAACTACTTGCTAAATTAGAAAACAAAATTCATCTTTTGCCTCCTCTGAAGAATTTCGCGAAACAAGGTATAAAAAAAACTGTCTTTAACTGCTACTGTACAATACATCTTCTGGTATTGTTCCGTAATTAATAAAAATTAATATTGTTCATAAGCACCTTAGTTTTATACATTAATTTCAAAAATGATAATGTAAAATTGTCCCTATCAAGTATTTCATTGAAAATATTAAATATTTTTTGTATGTTACAAAATAACTGCAGTGCTTATTAACTGTTTTAAGTATTAGGAGCTTATCCAAGAGTGGTGCTTATTAAAAAATTTTGGTATTAAAATTTACCATATCTTCTAGAGAACATATAGTAGGAAGGCATCTGGTTTGTGGCAATGTTTGTAAATGAATTTATTTCAACTTGTTAGCACTACTGTAGAAATTGGATGTTTTCCTGATGGTAATTCTTTCTTTTTTAATTTCTATTTCAGCAGAGCTGATTTAAATCAAGGCAAATTGGGTAATAATGTAGTTTTCTAGTTTAATGTTGATTAGGAACATCGTCTCTAACAAGCAAAAAAGCACTTCAGCGAAAACAATCATGTTTGGTACGTTGCTCATTCAAAGAGCAACATATTATATATTCATGAAAAGCATTCTATCAATTTATAAATTATTAGTATTAGGCCAAATAAAATTAATTGTTGGTTTCACATCCAGGGTTTGAAATTATTTTTGGTGATGGTATTTACTATTTGGGGCAATGACAAGCCAAACCAGTCACACCTCACAAATATCAATTTTTATTAATAAAGTGTTAAACAACAAAATGGAAGTTATAAAACGGTGAAAGAATAATTTAAATCCGATGTTTTGTTGTGAAGTTAAAGGGGTTTAGACATGCAGTTGATTAAATAACAGGTTTGAAAAACCAGCCATCAAAGTTTACGATTATAAGGAATTCTCAGGCAAATCATAATTTTTTTTTTTTTTTAATGTTGAAAATGGGTAAAATAACAACATAACATGATGTATTGATAATAAAAGGGTTGGTTTAGTGCAATAAATAGATTTCAAACATTTCGACATTCCAACATATTTTGGCCATTATCTCGGAAAAATGATTTGCGAGGAGTGACTGGTTTGGCTTGTCTTCACCAAATTTACTGTCCTATAGGCCTACTATGGTAAACAGAGTGGTAAATAATATTCTTATCAAATGTATTCTGCCATTTACACTTGCACCTCTTCTTTTCTTAGGTTAAAGACAACCTTCCAGATCATCTATTCTTCTTTTCCATGGAAAAATGATTGGTTTGTTTTTTTTTTGAAAAATAGTAAATAGTAATTTTTTTTTCATGAGTCTCCAAAATTTCATGAGGTCGGGGATGTGAAACGTGGTGAAACTAGCAATTTTATTTGGCATTATGGATGAGTTTTTGGATCATTTGCTTAAAATTTAAGTGTAATTTAATTTTAATTGTATTGTCAATACTTTGTTCTAGGAACAGGCTATGGTTTGTATTGCAATTGTGTGTCTATTTGTGAGAGATGACCTTGAGGAATAACAATTCTGTCAATGAGCATCCGTTGCAAAATAAAGATTTTATTAATGAACACTTCGCCACATAGCAATCGATGCTTATAGCATCTTCTCTCCAAAAAATGCACAGGTATATTTGAATACTATTTACACAGTTTAATGCATTCTAGAAAAAAAATAGTTGGTCACATGCTAATCTTGATTATTAAGATATTGTGGGTACATACTAGAACCCCGGGGGGGGGGGCTCACTCTTAAATATTTCTATACGGGTAGGTGCCGCATTTACGGGGGTATTTTTGAGGACTTGGTAGCACAAGTGTGGGAATTTATAGAAGAGTTTCAACACGTACAGGGTATATTTGCGAGGACTTGGCAGCACAAGTGTGGGAAATACCAGGTCAATTTGGTAGTTAAAGTCCCTGCCCTGTCCCGTATCAAAATCGCATAATTTTTCATACGATATTAGAAAAGATTTTTTGCTAACCTCCGTCCTAAACCTACCGTTACATAGCCACGAACAGTAGGGATCGCGACCAGACAGAACCGCGGTCATATTCGCCATCAGGAAACAGTACAAGTTTTGGTAGGTTACATGGCCGTACTAGTAGTTCAACTGACACCAGATTTTGGTAAATGGTAGTTCAATTCCCTAACAATTTTCAGTAAAATAGGTGGCGCAAGTGTCCCCCTCCCCCGTAAGGTTGGTATACATGTGAGCTCCCCGGGACAAGAACTGCTGCTGCATACAGTATGCCACAATTTCAAGATTGCAAATTATATTTACAGTATTATTTACAGTAGTAATGTGGATTGTGACTGTGTTTGCAATGGTAATGTACCTTTTTAAGGAGTGAACTTATTGAGATTGATACCGCTGGATTCATTACTGTTTTTACCACACTTAATTTTTAGGATCGCGATCTTTTAATTTGTGATCAATTCACAGTCATAGTGACCTGGATAAATAATACATTACACTATACAGACAACTTGTAATAAGATTATATCCTTCAATTACAAGTTAGCATGATGTTAATAAAACTAAATATATGGAATGAAGTATAATAATCATGGCATGTTAATTACAAACATTTCTTATTATATGCTGGTGGAGTGTAATTTAAAATTAATCTTAATTTCTGATTACAGAATTCTGTAAAGCACATTTTGATTAATATTCTTGTAAAATATGTTCACCATGTACACTACTACACCACTTTACAAGATTACATTTACACTAGAAACCTCAATATTGTTAATGAAAAATTTAGCTCATATTTTTCAATTTCAACTATATCATTTTGAATCTAATCATTTTTAAGACCATCCCTCTATTAAGTCTGTGTCTTTGATAGCAAATCAAAAGTTGTTGCATTTAGTACCACTACTATAAGCAAGAGTATCCCTGAAATTTGTCAAATTCAGGGATGGTCCACTAGTTGAGTGGAGTGAGCTGCATAGAAATAGATTAATGATTAAAACTACATCCTAGTGGATACTACACAATAGTATCCCGTAAAGATTTTTTTTGTTTTTGTTTTTAGGCCAAGTAATTATTTAATCAACTTATTTCTTGTCCCTTTTAGCTTCTCTTTTTGCATGCCACTAGAATGAGAAAATATTTGTTTCTATTTGGCCTGTATTACTGTACCCAACGTCAAAACCAGTTTCCCCAGTGGCAATGTGTGTCTGCTACTTGATTTATTTATTTATTTTTTTTTTTTTTGGCTACTTTCTACAAAGGAACTCGATTATTATAAAATTTCTGACAGAAATTCTTGGTCATTGTTTGTTTGTTTGGTTTTAGGATGGGTTACAATTAGAGTATGGGTTAATAATAGAGCAAGTAGTCAGTATTATATTATGAATACATAAGCTTTGAAAAATAAATAATAACCCATCTACGCTTTTTGTGTGGCAATTCACAGGAATAACTATAGAAGTAAAAGACTTGATTTTTTAGTTCTTTCTAGGAGAGGGCTTCTAAGGCATAACATCCTATTTCATAGGCTTACTTTTGGAAGACTGTTCATTTCTATCTTTAGCTCATAACGCATTGGTATCCCTTCATTCCTCTTGAAATCTGAAACCAGATTTACAACTTACAAGGGAGATGCTAGCAAATTGTCTACTGTACCCGCAAATAGTCACAAAAACTCAACTTACTGAGTATAACACATCCATAGCTGACACGTGTAAAGCTGAACTTCGCATTTTTAAACGTGTCACTTTAATCATGTTTTCTTTGGTATCCAGCGGCAGTTTGGCGCAGTGGCTGAGGTTTGGGCTTTCAATCATAAGGTCGGGGTTTCGAGTCTCTGCTGTGCAGATTCGTTTGAGTCCTTGGGCAAGGCACTTTAGCTACATTGCTTCAGCCCACTCATCTTATCAATGGGTACCAGCAAACTGCTATGGACTAACCTGCGACAAGCTAGTGTCCCGTCCAGGGGGAGTACAACTCTCATCCGCTTCACTACAGAAACTGGGGATAAGCTCCAGCTTTATGAGCCTCAGTGGCTAGGAAAGGATTTGGTTTAGTTTCTTTGGTATCCACTCTTATAACCATACTTCATCAACAAACGTTTTTGTTATTAATATTTAGAACACATATCCCATTGAAATAAAGACGTAAATTAACTTTTACTGCTATACTACAAGAATCTTTCCCTGTATAATGCAGTGGTACATAGACAGTAAACACAACGGAAGGGTTTTAGCAAAATATTTATGTTCTGTTTTCATCATGCATTCTTGGGAAGAATAAATCAAGAAATGCATGTTAAAATGCATTAAATCAATGACACAGATGCTCTGAATAAAAAATACAGTCTAAGTTTATTAAAGCTATGGGATTTTATTGTATAGTACCTGGATAAGGGATACACGCCTGGAAAACATTGCTGTAGTTGGGTGATGTCTGTTTAGATTAGCTTTTACTAGGACATGTTATTAAAGAGCTTCTTCACTACTTCGCAATCATACTTGAGTAGTTATGGATTTGAAGCATAATCAAAAAATTGATAAAAAATTGACCCGTCTCTTACATTCCAATAACATCTGGCACCATACTTCAAAACACACTTGGATAGGCTAATACTTTACTCAAATTAAAATAATTTTGTTGATTAGAAAATGTAACAATGATTCATCATTATTTGTCAACTTCTTATGCTAGGATTAATTTCTATACCCCTTTTGTTTAAAGTACATTCTTGAAAATTCTTTGAATTGATTATTAATAAATTTCCTATTTTTGACCTTGAACTTGAACCCAAAATTTAATAACCTCTACCTTAGAACCACTGTGTGAATACATTATATCAGGGTCCCAAGTTGTCAAAGTCAAATTCATGGAGAATTTGTTGTGCAGGACAGGCTGATGTTTGGGACACATGCACTTGCTAAAACACATACAAGGTCACTCTCGAACAATTTATCGCCATGTTCAATATTTTTTAAAAAGGCTTGGCAGGTTAAGATCACTGTTAATACCCTATTGCTGCCTAGAATGTTCGCCATATTTACTGCACAAGAATGAGAAAATTTTGAATAGCAAAATCCATAATAGTGAAAACCTGTTAAAATCCTGGAGAAATCCAAGATAAATTCAAATTCCGGGAGAGAATTTCGAATTTCCGGCAGACCTGCGATGAACCAAAATTTCCGGAGACTCCATGACAATCCGGGAGACTTGGGCAACAGTAATAATGGGTGAAAATATAGACACATAATTTAAAATATATAGATATATAGAAACTTTGTACTGGTGTCCAACAAGCACCTTTTTTGAAAAAGTGCCAATCCCAAATAGGAAACTCCCTCAGATAGTTTTGTCGTTAAGTGCTATACTTGAATAAGCGCTGCACCAAACATGAAGTGAAGCAATGCTTATTGGAACATTCTACAATATAGTTTATTGATGCTTTATCTTTTGAATATTCTGTTACCTGTCACTCCCGGTTGAATGCTAGTAGGTGGCGCAGGAACATAGGCATCGGAAACATTTATATTACACAGGTTTTTCGTGCAGCAGCAAAAGTGAACCGTGTTGTTGACGCTGAATACCTGTGAGGGCGCACTTGTCGATTTACAGTCTTCTTCACAGAACATGGACACCTCATTATTAAAGCATCCTATATTTAACAGAAAAATAAAAATACAAAGAAATAAATTTATGTTTTTCGTATTGAATGAATCTCTTCTTACCAGTACAATTTGGATGATTAACTAATTGTCTTCTGATAAAATAGTTTCTCAACATGACCGAAATAAGTTTCTAAAGCCAGGCGCTCTCTGCATCGTATGATGAATCCTCTCCCTCTGAGTGCTAGAAGATGCAACGCAATTTGTTGTTTTGTCGGTGGCAGTCTGAACCGATCATCATTAAATGCCTCTATAGAATCGCGTCGCCGACGACCGCCAGGGACACTGGGTGCCCAGCTTAAGAGTAAATTTCTATAAAAGCCAGGCTCCAGAGGATAATAATTTTGGATACATTGTACAACTAATTTTTTCTATGACACAAAATGTTTGTTTGATAAAAAAAACTTGGGAACATTTAATTATAATTTTTAATATCTAAAAATTGGGGTGTAAGGGGAGTAACCACTCTTTTTTCCACTTTTCGACCTTTCCCCCTCCCCGCCACTTTTTAAATATTCAAAATTCTATTCTCAAATTTGTTGTCAAACAATATTTTGGTGTCTTAGAAAAATCAGTTGTACAGCATATCAACATTACTTTTTTCTCCGGAGCATGGCTTTAACAGTTAATAAAATGCAATATTATTCTGAGACTAAGCTTTGCTGAAGAGCACCATAGCTCAGTCAGATAAACTGGTGGTAGCCACTGAAACATGGAGATCTATTGTTTCATCGTTCAATTCCATCCTCTCCTTGTTTCAGCTGGGGAAATGAAATGATTAACTCCTGCAATGTCACACATAAAAATAACATTTGACCTTAAAACACAGCCATTATATATTTTTTAATGGAGGAATGTAAAACTTTGCTCTGTTGCACCTGTTGCTGCCTATCCAGTCAACAATATGGAATGCATAACATTTCAAATGAATTGAATAATCGCATTTTCATATAGCACATAAGAACATAATTAAGCATTCACTATATTATGGCTGATTTTAAATTTCATTGATTATTCATAGAAGTGGTATTGAACACTGTGATTTGTGTACAGCACAATATGTTTTATTTAAATAGGGCGAGACTTTTTTTATTCCTTGTTTCGCATACTTATTTTTTTAAAGATCATCGGAGTAGAGCGGTATAAAAATAAAAATAAAATTTTGTTTTCTTATTTAGCAAATAGTTTTGCCAAAAAACATCCAGACGGAGGAGAAAATAAAAATAAAATTTTACTGGTGAATGTAAAATAGGATTGATAAATGCTTCAGATTTATAATAATTAAGAAGAAATATACTCAAGGCAGCGGAGGGTATAATCAAAATAAAAAAAAACTTATTCTTTTTTCTGAAATTTCAACATTTTCGTGACGGCAGGTGCGCTAACTGGCCAAAAATAACATTTTATTTTTATTCGAAATCATCAATATTTGCAGTCGGCGGGTTCACTAAAAAAGATATAAAAAAAAGTCTTGCCTAATTAACCAAGTACTGTATACTTCATTATTGGTATTTTTATTCAGTTCTGTATTCTTTTTGTAATATATGAAATACTTCTTACCAAAGGTAAGAACAGAAAGCGCATAATACCAGAGGTAAGAACAGAAAGCACATAAAGACATTTTACTGCAAAATGCAGCACAATATAAAACAGAAACAAACTAAAAACCGGAACTCTCACATTTTTTTAGTATTATATTTACTGATGGATAAAGAAACTACCACTATGGTATGAATAAGGTAATAAAACTACTCGAGAATGCTAAGCCAGATACAAAGAAATATGTACATTCACCTTCTCAAAATAGCCTAACACTGAGATCCACTGTCAGTTTTGGTTGAGGTAGTGTCATGTCACAGCTGAGCTGTGCTGTTCAATGTATGCCTTAGTGATTTTATTATGGCTATAATATTGGAGGGGAATTAATGCCAACATAGTATATACTGCATTGTTTTGTACACACGAGGTACTGTACAGTAGGCTGGCATTTGTCTCCTTTGTTAATCTTAGTTGTCATCACTACTGTAGTTTAAAAATTATATACATTAAATGAGTCGCACAATGTTTGACAATCTCTTTACTTTCATTTCTTTTTTAAGAGTATATTTGGTCGCGTATTATACTATCAAATTCAAATGATTCCTAAATATTGAGTGGCCGTTGACCTATGACAACATGTCGTGGTGAAATGATTCAGTTGTCGCACAGGCCAATATTGAGTAAATGAGCTAATATGTGAGCTCAAAAAATTTCCTAACAATCCAAGTTTGTTTTTCACTACAGATCAACAGTTTAATGTATTAATCATGTCCCAAAGTGTTAGTTCTGGAAATGGTCAAAAAATCTTTTATTTAACTTTATTTTGATAGTTAATTCTATTAAACAATTTATGCACAAGTAACTTTAGAAAACAATTACTCAAGATCATGCTTATCTTGACTCTAAGAGTGCTGTACTTTCACTTTCCAATAACTTGGGCTTGAAATGTCCAATTTCAATGAATGACCCCTCGTTTTAAAGATTACATACTCAGGTATCTGAAAACACCAATAACTTGAATTTCATTTTTTTTTTTTTTTTTGCCAAAACATGCCTCAATTTTGATAGCTCACAAGCTGATATAACGATTAAATTTAACTACGAAAGAATGAAAGAGAGCCACATAGCATACTGGAACCAATAGGAGAAGACTGCATACGGTTAACATCTATCCAAAGGGCAACATATTGCATGTGGTATAAATAGCCAATATCCTACATGTGGTATCAATAGGCCAGCATATTACATTTTGCAGTAGGTACAATATACTATCCATGATCCAGTTATATGAATTTAGAAATTACACTGTTGAGTCAACAACCTCCACAACTGAAGCTATCATTATATTTATAAGTTTCAAACTGCTTTAATATTATGTGAAATGACTTGTATCAAAGACATATCAATCCATCATCCATAAAAACAAAAAATAGTAAGTTACTAATTGAACTTGCTACTAAAATTATCCGACTGTGTTAAACTAATTACAGTATACAAAGCAGAATACAAAATAAAATATGCATTAAAATGAATCATTATAAACTTTGAGTATACTATTACAATAAAGGTGGTCTTTGTCAATCAGCCTTGGGCCATCCATAATTTTCTATTTTTCCCCAGAGTACAAAACATAGACTCGGGGGAGGGAGAGAAAGAGGTTTGGAGTCTGAGCCAGAGGTGAGCATAAAAATTGGTCGGAGAGCCAATGTGAATTTCTTCTTCAACACCGAGGAGGGCCTCGCAAAACTTTGATTTTTTCATTGTGCTTCCATAGCACTGCACCACTTCATTCTCAGTTTTAATGACATTACTTTCTACATATGACTGGTGTCAGACCGTTAAAAAACAAGGTGTATTCTAGCCATAGTCAATGTTGCTTGGCAGGCCGGACACATAAGTTTTTTAATTCATTTTCGCAGGCCGCAAAAAAATCGCTGTCGGGCCGCACTTTGCCAACCTGTGGTCTAGGCATGTGTTCTTGCAAATGAAAAAAGAAAAAAATCACCACAAATCTACTCAAATCATCATTTTATGTACTCGTTCAGAAGGCAATGCACAGTAGGGGCTACAGAAAAGGCAAATAAATTTAACCTCAATTCCATTTTCAAGAAACAGGTTATGGTTTCTCTCTAAATTAAAACAACCTTTTGAAAAGCACATGAAAATAGTAAGGCTAAAACATAAAGTTTAATAGCATTCAATCTTTTCAAAAAAATGTTTAACTTAATTTTTAACAAGCAGTGATTTTCCTTGATGAAGGAGTCCGAGTCTAAAATGCTAATGAACTGCTTTGAGGATGGCAGGCTACAATTACTGAGCATAATAAAATGACACTTTTAACCCGGCTGTCACGTTTCATTGAATTTTAAATGAGTGATAATATACTAATGAGCATTAGACCCGATTTAAATGTCCTCACCG